CGAAATAATGAAGGGATTTGTAGCTTACGTAGAAAAATCTTAGGGGTGTTAAGTTTTTTTGAACTAAATGGTTTATTTGCACAAATTTTATTGTCGATATGGGTAATATTATCAGGGCATAATTGGCGTATGCCCTGATAAGTCTGTAATAATGATATACATATGATTGTCTTCACATGTTGATCTATTTATCAGGTTGGTCACTGACCACATGATTGACTGATTTAATCCATATCCCTTGATGAATTGAGTCTGTTAATCACAAGTTTATCTTGATCCCACTCTTTTTACTTCCTTTAGAAGCCTTAGAGGTTGCTTGATCTAGGATTTCGACATTTTTGAATATATAGCCATAGTTGTTGTTTAGCTCATTCACATTTATGAATACTCAGTTGAAAGAAAGACATAGTACATTGCTCTATTAGTGAAAGTTATTTCATAGGTAATGTGTATCCAAATATATACACGATTTTCAAAACCATTAACCGGAGAATTAGATTGATATTTTATTTATATTATATATATTTACGATCGCTAAATATTTTGCTTCACACCAAACGGCCTCTTGTACATACTGAAATTCAGGTAGCGAAATTTTCAACTGTCCTAGAAATTATCAGGACTGAATTGTCTTTAAATGTTTGGGTATCGACCTAAAGAATTTCCATGTGTATATTGAGCACACCGCTTTTATAGATTTCATTTAGCTTTTAAATATCTGTACATTTGAAATGAGAAATCCTAATAAGTAGTTATTATTTAATACATGGAATGTGGCTGGTAGTGAAATTCGAGATTCAAGTTTCCTCTTATTTTGGACTGGTCAGCTGCATGTAACTGCATCCCAGATTCGTGTTCACACGAAGACTCAAACCTGGTACCGTTAGCTTCAAATTCCATCACGTTTCCCATCAAACCATTGAGTTTGGATAGCCACGAACTCGTGCGATGCATGTGAGTTCTAATTTAGTTTAAAATAGTTTGGATTAACGTGCTGTTGGTATTTTGACCAAAATTTGATCAATCGTTATCGGGATATATGGATTCTGTACAGATTGATTCAATATAGCTAATAATAGCACAAGTTAATATAAAACAGATGAAATGTGACTAGCAGTGGAATCAGATGATAATCTGATTAGTTCTAAGTGAACTTAGAGAACAAATAAATAATCTCAAGAGTAACTTAATGTTCTGAATTTTTAGATGAATGAAGGCAATTAAAGACAAACTCTTTGACTATAATTTCCAATTCCCTATTACTATTCAGAAATCTATTTCTTAAATACTAACAGAACTGACACACCTTATGAAAAAATGGTGCCATATTCATTGACTTCTTCTGACTGCTTCTAACAGTTCAACAGTACTCAGAGCACACTGATGCTCTTTTAACTAGTATTCTGACCCCTTTTAAACTTTATCGCCGAAAATTGGCGGACACTAGGAAATAACCAACAGTACTGGTCACAATGGAACAAAAGATTATTCTGATATTCTGCAGCTTTCATAAATTATGTCCTTTAAAGGATATGGTTTTTGACTTTTCGAATTAATATAACACTGTTTTAAATTGATGATAAGGATCACTTAGTATTTGTAAATAGACACTATAACATTAAAATTAATTTATCTATCAGGAATTAAAATTTCTGGCGGAATTATCTCGAAGAGGCTTCAGAAGTATCCCAAACCATTGCGATACAAGGGTATTATGCTGAACGAACAATACTCTAAATTTTAAATTTGCAAGAGTCCGAGACTGAATACCAAAAGAAGAACAACGAAATTGTCTTAATGAAATCAAGTGTAGTGAATGTAAGGCTATCATCCTGAAAAAAAATTAGTATATATATTCGCGATTGTACAGCTTTGAAAATAAATTCGTTGAAAAGAAAACTCTTCTCAGAACCAATCTTTCTTATTTATAAAACAAATCAGCTATAGCATTCCATTCCATAGGGTCTAGTCATTCAACTAATTTCAGCGGCATAAGAATCATCCCAAAATGTTATATTCCATACAAAGAGAAATTAACAGTTAAAACTCTACAAATATGGGCAAATTCAAGCACTATTAATAGTAGAGATGGGATATAATTAACTGTCCAATGGTGACTAATAATAAGTAAACTTTATCTATCCCATCTTTTCTTATGTGGGCAGCAACGATTACTTTCACTTGTTCTAATCAGTCAGTTTATCTGAATATATGATAAAAAATAAGCTTGGTCAACAATAATACAAATATTTGTTTGTTTATTTTCTTTCACTGTATACATGCTGTGGCATGTTTGATTCACATCACTTAGCGAACCATCTATTTTCATCAAATTTCTAATCAGAGACAATATCTGGTCAGTGAATTTTTCTCACATCTGATCTCTGTTCACATACACACAACACAATTTTCTCCACTTTTTACACCAAATATCACATACGCATTACAATAAATCTCATGTTCATTGTAAATATGATTGGACGATTTATTTAGTAAACAGTTAACGGAATACACCCATTAAGACATTAAATAAGAAAGATTAGTTCAGTGAAGAGTTTTCGTTTCTGAGAATTCGTTTTCAAAGCTGTACAATCGCAAATATATATACTTATTTTACAGGATGATAATAATGCTGATAATAAAATTTCTGTTAGATATATCTTTGAAAATGAATTCGCCGAATAAAGAATTCTTCACTGAACTAATCTTTCTTATTTAGTAAACATTTAACCGAGCATTTATATTCGATATTTTGACGTTTGATTTTCTTTACTTAAAAATGCTTGAACCAGTGAAACATCGGATTTACTTAACATGGAATCACTGAGATTTGTATAAATTTTCCTTCTCAATGTCTTACATAAAGTCAGGCCCCAACTAATGTGAAACTACTCGTTTAAACTTAGACGAAAGTATTTATATATTTTAACTTAAGTCTAACATTTTTACGTTGGAAGCTGCAATGTAACCATTGACGCCAAAGTCTAATAATTGTAAAGAAAAGTTGGATAGAGGTTCTTTCTAACATTCTCTATGACTGTTTCTTTTTCAGAGAATTATTCCCTAAGAATGATATATTATGATAAATAGAATAGACTAAACGTTTGCGTAAAGAATGAAATGATTTCAAATCTACTAAAATTCGGTTTATTTACATTATAAAATAAGAATGTAACATTTAATAATATAAAATTCCTTTAGCCTACAAACTAACAAAAAACATGATTATTGGAATTGATTTAAATGTCATGTTTTCTATACGTACACTTATTTAAAAATTTGTCTTAAAAAATAACTGTAAATAAAATAAATGTCACGTAACATTTCTATGGAAACTGTTTTTTTTAGTTAAAAACTTCACTTCATTTTGAATTTATTGTTCAAATCACTAAAAAATTAGTTCGTTAACGGAATCTTTTTCTAACTAGTGGATGATCTAAATTATAAAATCGTAAACCATATTAATATTCTAGTAAATATACAAAATGTTTTAGACTGGATAATTAAATTGTGGAAGAATAAAACTTTAGATATATGACGTCGGTTTAATCTCAGTCCACTTATAAGTTTTGAAACGATCTTCCCTATAATACCAAATAACGAGTCTAATAAATAATGTTTGAGATCTACTGCAGAACAAAACATATAATTGATCAATGTTGCCATTTCCATCCCCATAAAAGTGAACTCTCTCGGATCAAATGAAATAAAGCATCAGAAATGATCTAGGCATCTGGCATGATATGTATGTATTTCGCCCCCCCCCCACTAGTGAGTTGACCAATCATATAGCGACAACACGTGGGTTGATGTCGTATATTTTACAAAACTTTGTAGCATAAAGTGTCATTTTAATTGATCTATTTATATAGATCCCAAGTGAGGACCGAGTCAGGGAGGGCTGTTTACTCCCTCCATTTCTATTTCTTCTGGTGATTGATCGGATTATGAAGACCTCTACATCTGACGGGAAGCACGGAATACAATAGACAGATTGTATGCAACTGAGTGATTTGGACTTCTCAGATAACCTAGCTCTTCCATCCCATACACAACAAGAAATAAAGGTCAAGACAACTAGTGTATCAGCAGCCTCTGCATCAGTAGGCCCCGACATACACGAGGGAAAAGGCAACATCGCATTGCTCATCCGTGCATTCACATATGCATCAGATCCTCATTGTTTATTGATGATGCAGCCCAAGTACGTAAAACTCTCCACACCTTCCAGAGCTTCTCCATCAAGTGTGATTGGGTTGGTGTTTTCTGTGTCGTATTTCAAGATGTTGCCTTTTCCCTCGTGTATGTTGGGGCCTACTGATGCAGAGGCTGCTGATACACTAGTTGTCTTGACCTTTATTTCTTGTTGTGTATGGGATAAAAGAGCTAAGTTATCTGAGAAGTCCAAATCACTCAGTTGCATACAATCTGTCTATTGTATTCCGTGCTTCCCGTCAGATGTAGAGGTCTTCATAATCCGATCAATCACCAGAAGAAATAGAAATGGAGAGAGTAAACAGCCCTCCCTGACTCGGTCCTCACTTGGAATGCATCTGTCAGCTGTCCTCAGTGCATCACTTGGCAGTATAGTCCGTCGTATTATGTTGACGATCTTACAAAATGCACCACTGTGTCGAAGCAGACTACATAAGATTCTCCCATTCACGTTGTCAAATACTTACCCTTAGTCATAGAAGTTGATGTATAGTGATGAGTTCCATTCAGTTGCTTGTATAACAATGATCTGTGTCTTAATAACTTGGTCGGTGCATTACCAATCCTTAAAGAATCCAGCCTGCTGATTTCAATGTTACTGGATCTTACATCCTGTACAACAACACTCTGTTGAAAAATTTTCCTGGTACTGACAGTAGTATGATGTCTCTGTAGTTAGTTCTCACGTTTTCTCAGAACTCCTTTCTTTAGTATCTTGATGAGACATCCTTCTTCCAATTCTTTCAGTATTTGTTCCTTCTTCAAAATCTTCTTGAATAAAACGTGAATTATCTTTGCAGTTACTTTTACATGTGACTTCAGTACTTCAGTTGGTATGCTTTCAAGTCCTGTTGCTTTCCCACTGTTGATTGGTTTGGTGGCTGTTATGATTTCTCCAATTGTTGTTGGAGTGACATCTATAGGAAGATCTGTAGGTGCTGCTTTGATATCTGGTGGATTCAATGGAGCTGGTCTATTCAAGAGTTTTTCAGTGTTCTGCCCACCTGCATCACTGTTCTTGAATCTCAGTGATTGTCTGGACATGTATAAATATATGTTCCAGCTTTAAAATGAATCTCTCTGGAACCACTACCTTCACAAAACTAGTTGGTAAAACTTATTCGCCAGTTAAACCAGCTGAACAAGTCCATTAATTAGAATAGTATCCGTTGTTAGGCCTGAAATTTCAGTTAGGCAACTGGTAGATATTAGCTAGCTATTTTGTAATGTTTAATGCTCCTCACCAATATGTATATAGTGCGTCTTTTTCTAAGTTAACGTCATCATCTTGATTTTTGGAATAAAACTTCCGTCAGTTCGTACTTTTAACTTGTAATTTGAATAATCTTTAGTGACTAAAAGAAAATGTATTGAGGAAAGTTCCAGTGAGAGACCAATAGATCACTAATCGAAGGAATAGTAAATCTATCAATAATACTTAATATATGTCACTACATATAAAACTATAACTGCGGTCAAAAAGAAACGATCATTTGCATTCAAATAAATTTAAGTTTTTCAGCACTCATTCCACAATTGATTAAAAATACATATTACTATGAATTTTTTAACCTACATTAATAAAGCACCTAGTTTCATTTCGTTTCCAACAGTTCTCTAAATGATATTGGAAGCACCTTTAAACATCGAGGTTATAATGACATAAAGAGTTCCGCCAAGTAAGACCTGATGTTATATAATATTTGAGGAAGTAGTTATGTCGTTTATTTTCAAGTATTCAAAACGAATTTGCATAAGAATAAATATACGAACTTATCTTATTTTGTCTCAAACTACATTCAAATATTTTTATTTATAGGTTGCGTTAAATGTACTTATTTGGTTCAATTACTCATTTGATTCCTATTGTTTATCTTACTATACTATGAAAGTTAACTTTTTACATTAGACCCAAGTGATCAGTTTTACACATTGTCCTTAATGATCTAGAAGCACTTATCTGCCATATACCTAGCTTTAGAAGGTTGATTTTATCCGAGCATTTAAAATTTATTAAGTCTGTAAAAATATAGCATCAATACCCAGCTTTATTATTTTATTTTGTAACTTTATAGTATAGTTCTATCACGGTTACTGAATAATAAACTGAAGTAGCCATGAAACTGCCTATCTTTCACTAGTATTTGGTAGCACATAAACTTTTAAATGTCGGTTATTTTGACGTTTTCCAAAAATACCTCAGTCATTACACTTCTCTAATTTGTGTGGTCCAAGTTCAAAGTTAACTCCCACCACTGACAGCTATCAGCCTGAGGACCACTATAAAAAAGAGGTAAATAACCATCTGTTCAATCCTAATTTAAGAACTCACAAGGCTAGGTGTTTACGGCTTCACAAGAAATCGATTTACTAAACATTATTGTAACGACCCTAATACCTTAATACCAATAAATTATAATCTAATGTTCAACATTCCCAGTTACATTCAGTTTGGAATGTAGAGTAACGGTCATTTTTTGTCAAGGTTTTGTTTATAATACAATGATAAGACAAATTTTATTTGACACCTTGTGTTACCTATGATTTCTTAGATCGATCGCAAAGATTATAAGATGAGGGGTAGTCTAAGCTTTAAAACTATTTTAACATAAAAAGTTTAGTTTCATAGAAAAATATCGGTTAATTGAGTAACTGTCTATGGTTTCAACTGTCATTACCAAGTCTGTATGTTAGTTAGCATTTCTGTGATGGCTGTATGGATAATCGAATGGTGTTACTTCTTTAAGAATAAATAGATCAATCAATCAAATAATCTTACATAGGATTCTTTAATATTTTATTTTTGCATAGATTACACTACTTTAACAAACAAAATTGCAGAATTATCATTTTCAAGTCTCTGATATTTTCATTACCAATATTAGTTGCTAAGGAAAATCAAACTAAAATGTACGAGAATTTTTCTCAATCATTATATCAGTTTCCTACGTGTATTTTTTTAAAGGTACATTAGACGTATTAACTGCAATAAGAGTCAGTGAACAAGCATATGTACAAACTTCACCTGGTCGATGTCGTCAAGATTCAAATGATTTGGCAACATCATTAAATGTTGCAGAAAGAAATGTAGCTTATTCTGTTCCTCGTGGATTAAGTCTTTTCATAGAAGGTCGATCTTTAATCCCTGGTAAGTTTAGTAATTTTATTTGTTTATTGATTACTAAAAAGTGTCACCTCTTAAAACTGAAAACGTTGATTTCTTTTCACCCTTGTAAAAAATTGAAGTGTTGTGAAGTTTTTTTAATACACTTCGTTATTGATTGTCAATTATCAACTGGACAATTTATAAAGATTCCTACTATTCTGTTTGAAAAGTGGTAGAATAACATAAAAACCATCACTTTCTCATTTTTGCTTTTGTAAGATATTCAATCTTAATAGAATCTTTTATTCAGTAGCCACCATTATCTTTAATACTTCTATAAATAGTTTTAAAAAATACTTTATTGAACTTATACGGTGAAATTATAATTTATGGATGACCTTTGAGCGACGCCAGACTGACCTTGAGGGTGTCCACCTAATAACCGGGACCAAATGAGTGTTATAAACCAGTGTGAGAAATTAAAATTACGATTTACAGTTGATGATTAACTTTATAAATTAGATTTAGGGTTTTCATCACGAACTGACATCAGCTATCATTCCAAAACTTTAGTTATCCGAATGAATGAGTGAATTTCGTGCGAAGATTCGAGACCTGTTATCTTATACGTGATGGGTTTGTCCATAAATTATAGTCTCGCCACAATTTATTATTCAACTAGGAATTAATTTATCTGAACTTATTGTTTTACCGAATTCCTCGTATTATTTATATTATGAATGTAGTTAAAGTGTTTTATGATCTTTTTTTGATTTATTGTATTCCGACAAATTCACGCAGAAAATAATTGTATTTCAATATTTAATTAATGCATAACAGAAAATAATGTTTAGCTGTTCGTGTTCAGTAATAACTATAGTCCGCAAATTAGTTTTTGGCAATTTTTTAAGTTCGCATGTATTACCTTCTAAAGTGAACATAATTTATGTGGGACTTTCAGGTAATTTAGTCATTTAATTACATGCCTGCCTTATTAAAGTTAGCTTGCTTGATAACCTCATAGTCAAGTGAGCAGAATCACTGTTAACTTGTTTTTGTGTAGTAGTTGTACTAACAAAATATCCTTTTTATGTACAGATCCATTTCCTCCAGATCTGTCTATTTTATTTACTATTCGATTGGAATCCAATTTGGAAAAAGAGTTTTTCGCTCTTTATGATCGACATGGACGAATGATTTTACGCATAATAATTGGCTCACATTTGCAATTAGAATATTTATCAAAAGAATCACAGTCTAGTCAGCTTTCTGATGTGCATCCTCGAGATTTAAAAGCACATTCAGGAAAAACATTAGAGAAAGCTATTTTTAAAACTCGTCTAAATGATGGCCTGTAAGTTAATGATTTTTACTTTAGTAATCTTTCACTTAGAACTAGTGATTTCATTCCATTTCTGCTTTAATGAGTTCTCTGTTATTTGTTTCTTTTTATTGGGTTGTTTTTTTCTAATATCTATCAATGAAGGCAGACGTTTTCATCCCTAGAATAACTGAAATATGATTAACAGGGGAAACTAAGATGCGTGTTTCTCCCTATTTGAAATTAGTTAGTTAGACTGTACCAACTCTTTCGAATAATTTACGTCGCTAGTTTAAAACCGAAATGAAACCTGTTGATTTCTGGTGGTACGGACCTAGACTGTACGCTTTTGCAGTGTAGTGAGTGAGCTTTGAATACCATAAAACATGAATCGCTTTATTCATATCTATGCTAAGTATTCTTTCCAGTTTTGTTTTGAGAAGCATCTCGTATGAATATACACTATAACATTAAAGTTCGAGACACTCATCAGGTGCAGAATATTAATTACTCATAATTCAGAAGACTGCCATCCTTACAATTTTGCTATGGAGCAAGCATTTTAAAACCGTCACTAAATTACATCTCCCTATATGATTGTAATTCAAGAACATGTGTATGTTCTAATGAAATAAACATTAATATTTGTTAACACCCTATAACTCAAGAGATATATAACTTCCGATTCATGGAAAACCGAAAGCAATTTATTAACGTATTATCAATAGTGGTTATCAGTCAAAACTCTTCATGCTTGAAGCATTTGAGAATCCTGGTTCAAATCCAGTAACGTTTAATAGTGCTTTGTCTCAAAATAAAGTTATCATATCATAATACATTTTAACAAGTTTTTTCAAAATAAACTAAATGACGTGTTCAAGAGTATATAGTACAAATGATTCCCAATATATATTTACTAGGCTTTCATTTTCTGTGTATCCTGTTCAATACATTATATTTTCATGAACTTTTTAGATGGCATCGTGTAGCCGTCAGTATTGGTACTACTACCGTAAGATTACTAGTTGATTGTAAACAAAGGGAGTCCATAAATTATAATCGTTCATCAACAAGCATTGATAACAGAGGTCGAATACAAGTATTAAAAGACGGCATTCATGTGAGTTTTCATCATATATTTGATCTGTTTAATACTTTGTTGATCACATTCCAAAAGAAATAGTGACTTTTCCACAAGACAATTCGAGTGAAAATACGATTTAAGCACTAATTAACTTTATTCATAACGTTAGAAATATTGACAACTCGTAGATAATTATGAAGCAGTATTCATATTTCAAATAAAACGAGTAGGGTTTTATTTACGGCCGATTTGATAAGTTAACTGAAGAGATTAATCTGGTACGTAGAGTACAACTTAAAATATTTCTTCAGGAAGGCAAACATGGTCAGCCTTATTGGAAACTGATAGAAATTCCAACACTTCACAAAGCGTTTGGTACAAAATTAAAGTTCTAACAGTGTACTAATAAACAAAATGGTTACAAACAGATTTTCTGAATAAGACATTAAGTAATTTGTCAATCAACAGAGCTCTTAGAAACAAAGTTGTTGACAGAATTACACATTGAGAATACAAACCGCAAGGCCTGAGCCTCACTTTCTTCAAAAACGTGATCTACTGAGGTTAATAATCTCTATTATTAACTCTTGTGCCAATAAAAACTAACCTACTTATTACCGCAAAAACTTTTATTTTTGCTTCGCTCAAATTTATGCACTATAACGACCACACAAAATTTCTCTTCAGACTAAGAACTGTAAAAATACGAAGCAGGTTAAATAGATCACTAAAGAAGGAGCCATTCATTGTAATTACTTAAATATAGTTGAATTTTTCATCTTTTGATGGTCGAATGAACATACAACTACGGAATATTTACTTTCATAACAACAAGTGATCTTTAATTTTAGAAAAGGTCAGATACTTGCTGTTGTTAAGTTTGCAATAAGTTTACTATCAGAAAAATACTTTGATTAAACCTAATTATGAAGACTATTTTTAGATGGAATCGAATGAATTTCATATTATTGAATTACGAATTTTTAATACATTCGAAAGTAATAAACATTAGTACCAAGATGACTTTCCCATATATCCATTTACAAACTACAGAGGCTAAATGAGTTCAATTTCATATCGCAAATAGTTAAAGATTCTTAAAGTTAATATACCTTAAGATAATAAAATATACTTTAAATATAATTCCAGAATAATCTTATAGAGAATTTCGATAATGCAATGAGAAGACGAAGTTTATCAGAATTATGGAAATTGAAACCTCCTTTATGTGTTCAAAAACAATTTGTCCTTAAACTTAACCTGCCCTGGTAATACTGATTTATTATCCTGTTGGGGACGTTAGATTCCCAGAACTCACTTGGAAATGGACCTAATTTTGTAATTTTATTTAGAAAATTTGAATTTCTTTGTTTTCGCGGCAAAGGAGCTCTTTTCACCTGCATGTCGTATTTTCCACTTGGAAAATATCTTAAATTCTATTGGTCCGTTGTGTCTTTTAGTATGTTATTTGGTAACTCTCCCCAAGGATGGTTTTGCGCTGTATATATACGTTTTGATTTGTGTTTGTTGTTATCGCTCATTCCTGGCAGTTTGCAGAATACACTTCCCTATTCCAAGCTTGGACTTCTTACTCTAGTTAGCGAGACTGGGACGCATCAAATAGCTAGCTTATTGGTTTTTGGTCACTGAGTCTTTGTTCCGTTCGCAGTCTAAATGAACTCGTAACCGCTTCAAACCTAGTTTATCCTGAGCAGTAATCACATTTGTTTTTGTGTACTTTAATATTTTTCTTCCTTTGGTATGACTTACCCTTAACCTGTCTAGTTAACATTTTAATTTTCATATATAAATATTCTTAACAAGTATATGTGTGATCAGACTGTTCGAAATGTATTGTGCAAATATATCACATAATTCTGATAAACTCCGTCTTCTCATCGTATTATCGAAATTTATCAAAAGGACTAACTGTTTTAAATTTCTTATAGAGAATATTTAATTAAAGCTTATGGATTTACAAACTATATCTTATAATTATATTAATATAATTATTTCAAATGTATTACTTATAGGGTTTTATTGAAGATTTTTATCTTCTACCTGGTGAAGAAGGTGCTGTTAAACAATGTGATGTTTATTCACCTAATTGTTTTGATGATCAAATGATGGGGGATGAAGTAAATTGTTTATTTTGTTTTGTTTTTTGCGACGTGTTCCTTCCATGTTTAGTTTTTATATTTATTTATAAATAAACTTGTTGTCTTAATAGTCTAAGAAAAAAGGTAATATGTGTTTATTTCCTTTTCGATTTTATCAATATACAACTTAATTATAAATATTAATCTATCAATGTACACTTCAGTATTGTAAATTTATATCATCATGTGTGTATAACATATACATATGGGTGCTTCATAGGATTATAGATAAGAAGAAAGTAAAAAGAAAAGAAGAAGAACAGTATAGTATTCCTCAATCTGGGAATTATTCACCATTTGCCATAAATCAGTACATAGTCTAAATATATAATTGAATATGAATTACTTAAGATAGTGTATGTTGTTCTTTTTGCATTTGTTTTACTGACTAAATAATATTTGAAACAACATATAAATATGTTCATAATAAATTCAATATTACAGCTTGAATTTATTCATTCAAATGGTAAATAAATAGGTTGAACAATATTTTATGGTCCATTAATTCGTTTATTAAAGTATTTAATCAAATAAGTAAAAGAACAAGTGAATTTGATCAGAATGAACTTATTTATATAAATCTCCAAGTAAACTCAATTACTGTATAAAGAATTCAGTAAATCTAGACAAGTTTTAAATTAGGAAATCATATTTACAGATTTTTGAAGAAGTTACTGAAAATAGTACATATATTAAAGTTTTATGACAGTTTTATATTTTATTCTTAAAGGGTAATTGAACTTTGTTGATCTATAAAAATCGTTTAGAAACATTGAAACATTATATGTTGGATGTAGGAATATTTCAGTTCGTAAGTTAACCACATAGCACAATAATATGTTTGGCGTAAAATTGAATTATCAGAAGGGGTTTGTGGGGATTTTGGAAATTCACAGATATTAACACCATTGGATGCCGGCTCAGTGGTCTAGTTGGTTAAGCGCCTAACGCGAGACTGATAGGTCCTGGGTTCGAATCTCGCGGGGTGCGGGATCGTGGATGTGCACTGCTGAAGAGTCCCATACTAGGGCGAAACGCCCGTCCAGTGCTTCCAGGTTTTCCATGGTGGTCTAGCTTCAATTGACTCATGATTTCAATCTGTAAAATTGAATTATTAAGATTTAGCAATTAATCTGAATGGTATTGTTTCTTGAATGTAGCTCCTACTATTTTCATTTGTCGATAAAAATACATGTAATAGGCAAAAGAATTACTTTTAGGCACTTCAAAATGAATTAATGATAAGTAGCTGACAGAAAACCTTGATTAATTTAGATTTCAGGCCTTTTGACATTGACTTTTATACTTGAGAAAAGAATGAATCATAGATATTTACTGAGAGCTACCTGTGCTCTAGTATCATGCTATTTAAGATCAAGGTTGGAACTCTAAATTGTTAGATAAAATCAATTTTAAAAAGTTAGTTTTGACCGTTGTAAACTAATTACTTACATTAAATTTTTTCCATCCTACTAAGATAATTTTGACCAAGATTAAGTTTGTACAAGCCAAACATGACTATGGTTGTATTAATATTATAGTCAAATATTTTGTTTTAATTTATAATTAAATATAATGAACAAGAATAATTGTATCTAATTTTTGATTGGTTAACTCATGGGAGTTTGTTTTACTCATTTTTTGATAAGGAAAATAGTTGAAAACTTTCTTGACATTACTTATTCACGTAATCGACATTTACATTAAACTACTTTCGTAGTTTAACTTATACACTTTTAGATATCTATGGGAATTTAGATTTATGGTATTACATTTACCACTATTTATTTATTGGAATTTAACAACGAGTCTAGTTTGTGTTAAACCAAAAATATTTTGAACAGAACCAAAACAAACCCTAATGAAGTATAATATAAATTCATTATCGTTCGTAATGATTCACCTTGATATTTAAAGTTTTTGATTGAAATAAAAAATTGGGTTTAATAAGTCTACCTAGTTAGTGAAATACTTTAATACATTATTTTTGGTAATAACATTGTTAGTTGCATTTGATTTGGTGTAAATAGTCTTAACTTTAAAGAAATAATCATTCTACATGTTTAATCATAGTGTTACTTCTGCAACTGTTCACGTTAAACAAATGAGAGAGAGAAAATCTGTAAATCAGTAACGAAACGAAATGTATGATTTATGATTATCAAATCATTCCATCTGTCTACTCATAGTTTAAGTTATGGTTTGAATGACTGAACGAAATTAAGTCGTCATGTTACCTTGCTATCTAGTTTATAACTCAAATGTTTAGATGTCGAAAAATTATTCACTTCATATAGTTGATTACACTATCAATGATAACCTCTTTAAACAATTACAATAATTACAGAAAACCATTTTTGTATTTATTTAGTCTTTCATTTGACAGAATTCTGATAAACAAAGAAATTTTGTTTATTTCAATATAACCAATTTTCATTTGATGTCTAAAATCATTTGAATTCAACTTTGACTACAAGATTCGTTGATATGAGATGGAGAGAGAGAGAGAGAGGGGAAAAAGCGGTGATTGCTTAATGTTATTTTTTTTATTAAGTTTATCAAAAACATAATAATTCAATTCAGTAATGTGCATTGAATAGCATTACATTAATAAAAACACATGTTTAAATGTCAAATCTAATCAATATTTAAAGGGACTAATTGTATGAGTGTTTTTTTTTCCTTTTGCTTTTTTAGACCATGACAGTTTGTCCAAAATCTCGAACAAACTTATCATTTCCCAATTGTCCAATAGTTAGATTATAGACCTACTTTAATCAATTATAAATAATTTAATCTAAAATATAAAAAAAAGGTTTAAAATATTTTATTAACTAAAAGCTAAAATTGTCATTAATTACCTTGGCAATAATTTCCTTTATCAATACAACTTCCTTCCATATATATATATATTGATCAAATTAATAATACTTTCTATAGAACGTAATTTTTAATAGAAAGAAAAATTCAAAGCATATGTTACCTACTACTTTAATCTTATTACGTAAATTTACTCGTAGTTTCATAATCATTTATGCTTAACTGATGGTGATATTAAATATGTAACATACATATGAATTAAGATATCGAATGTTTTTTTCCTCTCATATTCTTCTCTTTGATTGGGAACAATTATAAAATGAAATTGTTGATCTTGTTTTCATCGATAAAAAATAACATGAAAAATAAATTATTTAATTAAAATGTTTTCTTTCAACAGTTGAGATCATGCGTCAGTTGTAGCTAGACCACCATGGAAAACCTGGAAGCACTGGATGGCCGTTTCGTCCTATTGTGGGACTCCTCAGCAATGCGCATCCACGAGACTGATAGATCCTGGGTTCGAATCCGGCGAGGCGGGGTCGTGGATGTGCACTGCTGAGGAGTCCCACAATAGGACGAAACGGCCGTCCAGTGCTTCCAGGTTTTCCATGGTGGTCTAGCTACAATTGACTCATGATCTCAACTGTTGAAATTACTACAATCTCCACAAAACCCCTTCTGATACTAAGATGTTTTCTTTTTAAAAAACGAAAAACAAAAGTAAACAGCCTAGATCTTAGATTACTATAATAACTTTTGAACAAAATTTAATCATTTTAAGTAGTTTATTTAAATGAATAAATCTTTTATTTATTACAGCAAGTACTTGATTTGAATTTAATTGAGAATATAATCACAAAGATGTAGGTAAATTTGTACTATGCAGTTTTTAAAAGGAATAAAATATGAAACTTAAATTCTAATTTCAACAAAACAAATTTTATCTGGAGAATCAAACTCATTAATGTATTGATTCATTGTATTATTTGTTAAAAATAGTTTTCCGATTATTTGTTTCTCCATTTAATAAAAAGACCCTGAATGAATATCCAGATTTAATGACGAAAAAGAAACAATTCAGAAGTGACCCAACAGGTTCATTTCAGTATTTTTATTTTAATAAAAATGATATTAGGCATTGCCTGAACAGTTAATTGTGTTTGCTTTAGTCAACCAATATCTTAGTGGTTAGATATTAGTTAATTCAGTAAACATTTTGTATTGATAAATATGCATTTACTAATGATCATTTTATCAACTGTGAATTTTTGTTTTGTATATTTTTTTTCGTTCAAAATTTCTAGGGAGATAAAGATACTGATCCAATGCAGGTAAGTTTATTTGTTTTTATTTAAAATTGATTTGTCATAGTAATTAATAAGGAAAGAACCTCACTTATTTCGGAAATTATTTGATCCAAGAATATACAGAGTTTAAAAAACTAAAAAAAATTTGGTTTCAATTGATAGATATTTACTTAATTAGTTTAAGAAATGTGTATTCACTTGATATTTACAAAACAATGAGAACAACCGATACGTATCATGTTTAGTGTATATTAGCTACGTTACGTTCTACATTTACTAGTGTAAGCAGCAAACTGTTCTGTTGTTTATTTGTAAACAGCTTCTAAGATAATTTATACATCGGCTTACTTAGTTGATCCCGTCTCCAGTTCTACATACCATAATAAATATAATAACCAAGAGTTATATTAGTTACAGTAACTAAAACGTTCACTTATTTTCTTTAAGTAAATCTAACTAACTACTGATTGTTCGAGGCTAAAGTACTCGACAAGTTCCATAAATCTTGTTAAAACTGTTAATAACCGTTAGTTCTATAAAACTGAGTGTGAAAATGAATTCTTACTCCAAGCTTAAACTAGTATTATGCTGATGAGAAGTATCACTGAATTAAAATAACGAGAATTCAGCTGTACATTAGTATTTACGGTTGCTTGATAAATGTATGTCTTTAACAAGATAAAAAAGATTACATCATAAAGTGATCTAAGATGCTTATTTGTTCACTATCATTCAGTGTTCATATGGTGAATATATTTGTTTGTCCTGATGACTCCTGATATACCGACCACCATTTATATATTTATCAAACAACTATAATTACAAATACCACAGCTTAAGTAAACGATTCCATTGAAAAGAAAATTCTTTGTTGAATTTTCTTTAGTTTTATTCCATAACTCAATGGGTTACTTTAATTATCAAAGTACCACATATTCTCAGTGAAAATAGTGAACTTGTTAAGGACTTCTAACTCTATTAATACCATTGGTTTTATTTTTTTCCTTTTCAGATTTATTGATATTTTATTTTGTTTGCACACTTTAGGGTCCAACAGGTTCTATGGGAGATAGTGGTCCACCAGGTGACAAAGGTGAACCAGTAAGTAGTGAATGATAATAATTTTAATGAAATAAATGATCTACCAAACGACCACTTAACTGAAGTGAAACAATGATATTTCACCTACGGAACTCAGACAATAAATCCCAAATTAATACATATTTTTTCGAAATGTTGAAAGACTGACGAAATGACTGAATATATCTTGAAAAAAACAAAACATTTATCTATAAAATATTTAACCTAAATGTTGTGATTTCAAGTTATTTACAACATAAAGAATAAATCATCAGTGCTAAAATGAAATTCACAAAGCAACTATTTAAATGACCGTTCTCCTTGTTACATTAACATATACTTAGCGGATTTTTCTTCGTACATAATTAAAAGAAAAAAGGATACATTTCATTAGTTAATCAAATTGAATTATCTTAAGTTTAGAGATTGAATTAACTTCAAGATTTTACCACATTTTAAACGAATTCAAAAACTACTTGACCATTTAGCATAGACTAGTTCTATTTAAAATATATTTGATGTTAAATAATTATGTTATACAAAAATACCACTAAAATATAGTTGTATTACTACTATTTAGAAAATCAGATAATTATGCTTTATAATAAATTAGGGAAAAAGCTTAATACATAGGAGATTTTGAACAGTAATATTGAGAATAAATATATAGTGTTTTGTGGACATAATCGAAAAAATAGTTTTAAAATGAAATGTCATATTCAGTATGATCAAGTTTTATTGAGCTTTTTATCTCTCATCCCCCTGTAGTGGGACTTCTTGGTTATTCATGGCTTCTGTTCCAAGTTAGCTTTGATCATAGTCTGATAGCTGGAAATTCATTGAAAATCAGAGAATGGTTAACGGTTCTTTAGTTTCAATTTCAGGGTAGGCAGTAATGAGCATCAACGACGTTCCACGGCATCTTAATCAAAATCTTTAACTGTTGCGGTATACGTGATACGTCTACAGCTCAGAAAGGGAATCTGATACTACATAATTCCAAGTTCATTCCATTCTTCATACAATATGATAATCATTAATTCCCATTTGTTATTACGGTTTACACCTGAAATGATTGACTTCCATCTATATATGTTAAACATGACCGAACAGTACAAGTAGAAGGCTGAAAAGTTATTAGTAAGATTAGTAAAAAGAGTTGTTTTTGTATGAAAAATGAAACTCTGTTTCAAGAGCTTCAGATAGTAATTTAATAGCGTCCATCGGTTACGGGTACTTTTATCTACATAAAGGAGGTGTGGAGAACATAAATCATAATGAATAATACAAAGTGGGATGCTTCTCAAATGTATAAATAACACAAACAAACAAATTCTAATGTTTCACTGTTTCAAAAAAATGATTGAAAAAATTTGGATACAAGACGTTAGAAAACTGACTTTTTCATATGTATATATTTATATATCACAATGTTGCAGTTTTAAGGCCTAAACTACCAGTAATAAGTTTTTATTTTGATATTTTTCTCCGAAAGGGTTTGAATGGGTCATCCGTACCTGCTGGTGAACCCGGTCCACCTGGTCCTATGGGTTCCCTATTCATCATTCCTCTCAATCTAGGCGTCGGTAGTAGTAGTTTTGCACGGGCAGCTACATTTCGAGACCTGCTTCAAAAACATTTGGTAAGTTTTTTTTGACAAGGTTATTTCAACAAATAAATATATCACAGTTGTCAATATCCTAATTTGTTTTTCTTTCATTTTCTTGCAGCTTTCCTTAAAAGGTGTACGTGGAGCTAGAGGAATGACTGGTGTGACTGGTCCAGAAGGAGGTCCCGGTGAACCCGGTGTTAAAGGAGAAGTTGGGCACCCAGGTGATACGGGATACCAAGGGCCTCGTGGGCCGATGGGTCCACCTGGACGCCAAGGTTCAAGTGTAAGTTATTTTATAAACACTATTATATAGGCACCATGGATTAACAAGTGTAGTTTAAACGAATAAACGTTTAGAACAATGGTTTTGTGAACCTTACGTGTTCATTTAAACAGTAACAGATATCTATTATAAACAGCTAGAAGATGGAAAATATGTTTTTTCATCCTTCAGTTTAAATTATTTGTAAAACAGTTTCACACTGAAAAAATTGAACACTAAGAAACATGATTTGAAGTTTAGGCAACTATCTATACTGTCTTCGGAATTCTTTTAATAACAAACAAAAAAAGATATTCGCAAAAAAATTAGATATGTATAGGCTAGATAAACATTAAACTATGAATCAGTATTTGGTGTTCTTGATGAATTTATCAGCAAATTCTAAGCTATAAATTGATATATTTCATAGGAGCATTTATAAACACGACACTTTCCCTATTTGTTTTATTTGATTGAACATCTTCATTAACAAGCAGAAACCATAACGGTGTTATGTTACACATATTAAAAACCCAGTGGGATTCTACAATTGATAAATTTCTGTCAGAAGCAATTACTTAAACAAGATATTATATACTACCATGTGGCTAGTTGATAAACATTTGGTAATGATTTTCATAACATTATCTGTTTTACAGGAACTAAGCTTCTAAAAAAGAACACCGATAAAATAGGTTAAGTTTTGATTATTTATTATAATCAACTGGTAAGCCTATCTATATTTACAGGTATACTCACAAACTGATTACCTAATATAAAGACCATATTTGAAACTGACAAGACCTAATATGTCCAGTTAACGCAATGGGGTAATAACAAGGTCAATTCAGAAATAAATTAACCTACATAAGTATACTCTATTCAGGTTACCTATGCAATTAAATAAGATATTAGCATCAAATAGTAGTAGTTGGAGGAAAAACTAAGTGAAACACTACTTACTTCTGATGAAACATATAGGTTCGACCAATAATCGAATCCAAGGTTAGTAAAACGGTGATAAGTCGATAAGAAAATATGACAACCCTCCACCCAGTTACAGAGGTATTAGCTGATTCAACTTTCCCCTTCGTTTTGTTAATTTTTTCTTTGTCCTAACGTAAAATCTGACAACTTTAACTGAAATATATCTGTTTCAAGTCCTGTGATTTCGAGAGACTGATTCAGTTAAAAATCCTTATTCTTATGAAAACAGATTTTTCTTAAAACATCTCAAACTGTTAAAATCATCAGTAAATTCAAATCACTGAAAATGAGATAATGGGAATACCTTAATTGTTATATTTTAAACAACTATCATTATATTGAAGATTGTCATTATGAAAATTAGAACAACACATATATACGAACAATACTGTTCTCAATTAGATTGTAATCAGGCTTTGCTCTAATATACATGAATACTTATATGAAAATTTTTCAAACTAATCAAAGCAATTGATGGGTCAATGATCACAATGAAATAAGTTGTATTATTAAATACAGTAGGTAAAAAGTACAAACTTATAATAAGACAGGTGTATTAGTGATAGGAACAGCCAAATAACAAAAGTTCTAGTCAATAGTTCAACAAAAGAAGTAGGTCAAACTTGGATAAATAGACTTTAAAATGATAATCACTATACATTATTAAAATTATGCAATAAGAAGTGCATAAATAACTAGATATTGACGAATATAAACGGAGAGATGACAAACAAAGACGGCATTCACTCATTCACTGGTTAAATTGCCTGTTATTACACCCAATATAGCTATCTCCACAGGAGCAGCTAGATTTGTAGATGGACACTGTGGAGGCCAACTCAGGTAATTTATCCTTTTTCTACTAAAACATGCCAACGAAGGGTTGGTTGTTTAAAATGTGCTATTATCTCCTCATACTTATCTACCATTCAGGACATCGCTAAACACACTGTTATTGCATTTCAGTTTTAAAAATATAGGTTTCTTATGTATAGTGAATATATCCAGTTAATATTTACTCGCAAACGTGTACTTTTTAAAAACTCGGATAGCTGATCGCTGTCAGAGTGTTATTGATAGACTTCAACTCTTTCTTAATATCATCTAGGGAGACCATTTTTGCTCTGCATGTGAGAAATCCAACAAGATTTATTTTGTAGTGGATGGGTGTAATACTATAGAAGTATGTGTATTCGCAAGCACAAAGGTTCTTATTGTACGCGTTTCTACATAACAAGCCACCACGCTGTCTATGTTGTGTGATGTTGATTTGTACTTTTTACCTATTATATCTAGTTACACAATTTATTTCATTGTGATTATATTGAACTACAATATAAAATGACGTATTCTGTTCACTTCAAATATTTAAGGCATATCACCTCCTTAATAAATAACTTTTTTCCACCCAAAAATCACTTATATGGTGAAAAAAATAATTAGCTTAAGAATATTTCATCCAAAGGCTGGTTTAAAACGATTCTATACAAACACAACCAAATTGTGTAATGATGAAAAAGATTTTCAGTCCATGTGGACGCTTAAACTGGTGCTATGTTCTCTGAATTAAATAATTTAGTAGATACAGATTATGTTGACCAGAAGAACAATGTCAGCTCCACAGTATACAGCACAAAGACAAGCTAAAATTGATTATTAAAAAATACTAGAAACGTGAAGAAATTATTGATTTGTAGTTAGTACACAAAATAAAGTTATGAAAGATGACCCTACACGAATAGGATTTATTTCACAACGTTTTCTAAGTATCCTTGTACCAGATAACTCCTAATATTTCTTTATTTGAAATACATAATCTTAGTACGTATGATATCTAGGCAATATAACCAACTTAATTTCTCTTCTATTTTGGAAGTTACGAACTTTATTGTTCCTCCACTTGAGTGCATATATTTACAGCTCCGCATCCAAATGTGAACTGTTTCGGCATGCAGGGGTGCTTATTGTCAATAAATAAAAATTTCAAGGACGGCACTATAAGTCACATAAATTATGTCTCATAATGTCGACTTATAAAAGTTATCACATTCATTAGTTAATCAATAAAAACCAATCTACACTATAACTACTCATTTGTGGATTTATTTACATAATTGCGAGGAAATAATTCCATGTTTTACTTACAAGATATTATAATATTATGTTTGATTTTGGAAGCCCAAAATGTTTTTATATGTTTGGAAACTCCTTTTCTAATGCTACCACAATATATGATTGGTATCATGATTTCAATTACAGGGACCACCGGGATTAGATGGTAGTCGTGGAGAACCTGGTCCATCAGGAATGAAAGTGAGTTATTCACCTGAATTGCTTCACTAGCACTTTTATTCTGTTTTATCGTTTTCTAGTCAGTGAAATGTTTTATTCAGAAAAGAAATGCTTTGGTTATGACAACAGTTTTATGTGTTATGTACGTATTTAACTTGAATGGACTAATAAAAACATAACTAGGTCCAGTAATTATTAACACAGTCATGGTAAGTAGATAACCTTATTTATTGTGAATCAAATAACGAGTGTTGCTCAATATAACGGAAGTCAATAAAAACTTTGGTTCAAGGTACTAACAATTAAATTACGCTTTGTGTTCCACGAAATTATACTTTAAAAACATTATTCGTCAATAGCTAAAGTCATGTCGGGATGAATTCAAAATAATCCCACTGACTCAACTACATTCTTCCTCATATTCATTGGAACTGACCGCAGGTCTGTTACACTGACTATGCAGCCTACTTTGATTTAGAGGAAAGGCCTGTACGATAACATCTGACACTTTCCTCATGGTCGAGTAGCTTTATCCATAGTATTCATGTCAGCGACTCACGTATTGACTTACAAAGAAATAATTTCTGGAAGCTACATGATTATTCTTAGTGTCAGGATATAAGTTATCCTGATCAAAATTTTTATATATTTTAAAGATAAATAAATGTGGAAACTATCAACATTGAAATTCCTTTCGACGTAGCACCGGCCATTTTGTCGCATGAAACTAAGCAAAACAAAGTTTTGGTATTTTCACTGAGACAATCTCTACTCTTCTATTATGACTTGTCAGAATTGTAAACAAATATTTTGGAAAACGGAATGAAATGGATCGATGTCGGCTCAGCGGTCTACAAGTTAAGCGTTCACGTGCGAGCCCAAAGGTCCTGGGTATGAATACTTTGTTTGGGACCGTGGATGCAAACTGCTGAGAATTCCCATACTAGGATGAGGCGCCTATCCAGTGCTTTCCGGTTTGCAATGATGGTCTAACATTTATTAGTTCATCATCTCAGTTAGGAACTAACAATCTCCACAACCCTTTACTGAAAATGGGTATTAGGTGACACGGAACCAACTATTATGAATTTTCATGCTTGAGGTGGAATAAGAAACATTGAACTTCTGATCAGGTGGTCTCAAGGATTAATGCGGTTTCCTTTCAAAATTTATAGGAGATGAAGTATCTATTGATGAAATATGAAAAGAAATATATTTTTATACATTTTAGTTAGCTGTGTTAAATGTTGGTGAGAATTATGCAGTTTTATGTATGGTTTTGAAACTAATGATAACGAAATTTTTTATGTAAGAATACAATAAAAAATCTTCCAATTATACAGGATAGCGATGTATTCATGTAGAATAGTACTGATAATTTTCAACAGGAATCGTAATAAGCCAACACTAGCTTGGATGAAATGCAGCGCAATAGAGTCATTTTGTTTAATCATACAAACCGGCTTCCAATGTAACTAGCTATATGAGGACTGCAATCAATAGAGCACTCAGGGTTAATATAGTACTTGGGTAGTTGACTGTAAACCTTGATTACAACAGTACTACTCGATAGTAAAAGATTATTAGTAGATATTTTTTGTCTTTGTGTGTTTAATTACATAATTTTTCACAAAACGTGGCGAGTAGTGGCCCATCAAGAGCTATGACGAACGTGCTAAAGTGATTATACTCATTCATTAGGCCCCATCAAACGTGTATATTTTTTTAATTTTTCAGGGAGAAGATGGACGCCCTGGTGATTCTGGACTTATAGGCCTTAAAGGAGATAAAGGTGAATTAGGGCCTCCTGGTCCCAAAGGTGATCAAGGTCTCCCGGGTGAAGAGGGACCACGTGGACCTCACGGAGATATTGGGGATCAAGGAGATCCAGGTCTGCCTGGAGTACGTGGTCCTGTGGGTCAGCCTGGTCCGCAGGGTCCGAGAGGAAAACCTGGAAATCAGGGACCACGGGGACGTAAAGGTGAACTTGGGGAACCTGGTGTACCAGGTTTACCAGGGCCAGCAGGTCCTGTAGGAACATCTGGGCCGGAAGGTATGGCTGGTCCTCGGGGCCCAACAGGTATAGCTGGTCAGAGGGGACGCTCTGGTCCCTCAGGAGTTCCAGGTACTGATGGTCTCCCAGGATTTCCAGGTCAGTTAGTTTTACAATATTAAATAAAAAGACAACTAATTTTATATTGCCCAGATCTCCTTACTAACCTGATTTTACCATTCATATCTGCCATTCGCACACCTAACCTGATATCTTCACCTCACGACGAATTGTTTTCGGAGTTAACTAGCTACGTAAATTTGGTCGAAAATCCACAAAGCAGAGTTATATTCTCGTAAGAAATGAATGCAGAGTGTGTCTCTGAAGAAATTTACAAACCCTTCGTATTACACACATTAAAGTTAAGATTCTTCACTTTTCTATTCAATGATATTAGTCTATCTCTTCATTTCCTTAAGGTCACAGACATACTTGCTTGTAAATCCTAGTGAGTTAAAAACTCATTTAAAGTTTTCTATAAGTTAATTCTAGCTATTCAACACTAAAATTTCAGTCTTTGATTTAGAGTTATATTAAATTCTTGTCACCCAATGGTTCAGATACTGAAACACGCCTGCAGTCTAATTTTTTTAACAGATTTTCAAGATGTTCATAGAGTATTCTAGTAACAAAAACGTTCATTGCTTTGTACTCATCATGTTAATAACCTACTAGTTTAATTTATGATTAAAACATTTTCATCACCAAGCTACGGTCAACAATCTTCACTATTGAGTTGCGTTAATAATGAGATCTGTAACGCTAGTTTTTTACTCTAGAAGTATAACATACTTCTGTTCAACTCGAATTTTTTAGTTACCAAGCCTCCTTTCAAACCGCCGTTTTTTTAGTCCTGTCGTATGACATGAAATTGATGAAGTATCGTCAAATGTTACTTAGAACTATTTAAACTTATGTTAATTTAATGTCGGTTATTTAGTTACTGTGAAGAAGTGGCTTACATTAAGTCACGAAACGTCCGAAAACAATTTTTCTACTCATTGGGGTATAACAAAAATATATTCATCGGCAACTCTCTACCCAATGTTCAATTTATTTGAAACAATCAAGTCCAACTTTGGCATTGATACCTATTGCTTAGATTCATCGAAAATATTTTACTTAACTCCATTTGAAAATGATAATCAGATTCTGAAAAATTATCAAACATTAGATAAATTTTTAAAATAAAACGTAAATTAATGTTAGATGAATATTAGTGCCAAAAACATTCATTCAAAAATTAGTACATGCGATTATTTAAATGTTATAAATTATGTTTAATTGTTTTCGCGTAACAGCTAATGACTCATTTGAGGCTTTTTTCAATCAGACCATAGTGTCCTATTCATCCATCTATTATCCTGGTGTATCCATCTTATTTTCGCTTTCTAGGTCCCAAGGGAGATGTAGGACCTAAAGGAGATACAGGTCCGAATGGATCAAAAGGTGATACAGGTATTCAAGGACCAAGAGGTTATAAAGGTGAACGGGGTCGGTCCGGTCCCGAAGGTGCAAAGGGTGAGAGTGGCAAACCAGGGCCTGTAGGAGTACCTGGAGATCCAGGCCCAAAAGGAGTGAAGGGAGACGTTGGAATATCTGGCCCCGTAGGATCGCCAGGAGTTACAGGTATGAAAGGTGACCCAGGTCCACCTGGTCCAGTTGGACAAAGAGGAGACCCTGGGACCAAAGGTTTACCTGGCGCTATCGGCATCCCAGGTCCACCCGGTCCAGACGGGGAAAGAGGTCCACCAGGTTTAACTGGAAGACGAGGTCGAGGCGGTGACAAAGGAGACATAGGACCTCCAGGTTCACCAGGTGAAACGGGGCAGCAAGGGCAAAGAGGGGCTCCTGGGCCAAGAGGTCCACCAGGAAGATTTGGCCCGCCGGGAATGAAAGGGGATGCTGGTCCGGTTGGCCCAGTTGGATCCGTCGGACCGATTGGTGAACAAGGTCTTCAAGGTCCCGTCGGACCTCCTGGACCAATAGGACCACCAGTAAGTCCCATTTTATATGATCGTAAATTTCTGAAAGCAAACGTTTGATTTTTAGTTTCTTAATGTTTTATTTCTGTACAGTTAGTTGACTTTTAAAAACACCAATCACGAGAATTTCGACGTTAGTATTCAACAAATTATCAATGTTGCATTAGTTAAGAATTTATCGGACAGTAACTTATGAATTTCAATAACGTTACACTCACCACTTCAGTGAGTTTCTAACTGAGATCATTGTTCATTCTGAAAGTAAAATCTCTACACTTGCTTAGACTATCTTATATTTTTCGAAAACATTTCACAGAATATTTGCACTGTAGCTTCAATAGGAATATCTATACGAGTTTGCAGCATATATTATTCTTGTATAATTAGTACTTTTATCAAAATGAATAAAAATATGTTCGATTAATATTCTTTGTAATTGAACAAGCGACTCATTTTTAAAGCATTGATAAGTTTGCTCCTAGGTAAAAGTAAACTATATCTTTTACATAGAGAGAAACCAACATCATAAGCACAGATATATTCATTTATGAATGTTTGTGTAATTACTCAATAAATTTAAGATGGTGAAAAATAAGGACTGGTCGAATCTTCTATTATAATCCTAACAATAAACCATTAAAATTTAGTCAGTTATTCGAGAAGAATACAATCAACTACTGCATTTTCAAAGTGAACATTTATTCGCTGAGATTTTTTCTCTACTTTCATTATTCTTCGTATTAAAAAAATAAACAGTTCACTTCAACCACTTTTATTCTTAACGTTCATTAGGGTTCAACTGGACGAGAAGGACCTGTTGGATTTCCTGGACCACGTGGAGAACCAGGTGAACGTGGACCAGCGGGGCAACCTGGTAGTCTTGGGAACACTGGACCACCGGGTCCTATAGGTGATCCAGGACCTGAAGGACAACAAGGTCCAGTCGGACCAACAGTAAGTTAGTTAAACTATTTAATTCGTATTCTATTACTCAACTTGTTGGTATTTTGCAGTGTTTAGGACTCAATCAACCTACAGCTCACTATTTTCAGTTCATAACATGTAATAATTCAGCTTTTGTATTCTGTCTATTGCAACAAGATAATAATAATATTGGATTTATAATTGTAGAGCTTGATTAAGAGGTTGTTAAAAACAATCGTACGCTCTAATACTAACAGTTCTTAATTATTCATTTATGTTCCATAGTTTGAAGATTGCTCCTAGATAGAGCCAAAAAAATACAGAAGTAATATACAGATCTTATGATATAACTTTCTAGATTTTAAAGGGGATGAGCAGATTTTTCCATGTTTTAACTGGTGCAAGCGCTGTAACTGAATGCTTCTAAACAAATAAAGTATTTATGATAAACATTTTGATGTCACCATAATTTCATGGGAATAACTATCGTTAGAGAAATAATATATAAGCAGAAGATTCGATTCATTATCATGTAAACTTACTGCACACAATAAAGTGCATTTTGTTTTATTAAAATGTTAGTATTAACAGTTTCCAGTCGCAGAAAATAAAAATAAATAAAATAAATTGCTAACTGTAAGAAATGGGTTCAAAACAACTTCCTGATTGCTCAGTACCAATGTACATGTAACACTGAATAATATTTAAGGTTATCTGTACTCAAAAACTAAGTATTTATCTTAGATCAAGGTTCCTTTATTTTATTTCATTACATTCTCCTCATCTATAAATTGACTAATAATTTTAGATAATCAACAATGTAAATAAGTATATAATAAACATTTAAAATTCAGACTTGATATAGCTACTGAAGAAAAGTAAATTGTATATGTAAAACACCAAATCTGAGTGTAGACCAAATTAAAATAATTTTCACTAGGCATTAAAATATAATTATGGTGACTATTTTTGAACACGGGAAATAACTTTGCTACTAAATACGAGGAAGAATCAACTGCAAACGTGAAAGCAATAAAGAAAGAAAAAACCTGAATTATAATCATATTTTACATAAGGAAAAGATGCTAATTACGACATTTACTTGTTTTACAAAGAGAATTAAAGGTTAATAACCAATTTCGTTAAATCTGAGCACCAAGCTTTTTTATTTTTATGACTTCTGCTATAATGGGTTGATAGGAAAGACACTTTATCGTTCATTGAAAAAATACATATCTAAATCATGTCATGTTTCCTTCATATGGACTCCAATCGAATTGGACCCCTCAAATTGGATTCTTTAAGATGTGTTTGGAGCAATTGGTGGACATCTGCCTAATTTACTTGCTTTTGAATAGACATATAAATATAGTGTCATACGATGAGTACTCGTTTAGCCATATTTGTATCACCTATATAGAAAATATTTCTAGTACACTAAATATGATACCAATTGCCTCTATCAATCTTCTTTTTCTTGCTTTATTTAATTTTCTAAAGATTATAAAATTTTAGATGATCACAGCTATCATAAAACTAACATAAAACATATACTCATTAATGTAGGTATCAATGCAAATATTGAAATTAATAGTTTCAAAGAAACTGAGAATTTCTTTTTGTTATATCCCAATTAGTAGAAAATTCTATTAATGACATTTCGTGAATCAATGTAAGCCACTTCTTCAGAGTAAATAAATGACAATATTAAATTTGAATAGTAAAAAGGAAACAATGCAGAATATTTTTAATGCAATCAAAATCATAATAAGTCTGAATATGTCAGTGTCAAGTTATTCTTGGTCACGATGAATTGGTATGACCTGTCACTGTATCAATTTGTACGTGTTTAGTTTTTGAATTACTCTACCTTCTTTGACGTCAAAATGAACAGTATTTTCAGAAACTTAAAAGTATTTTCTCCAAGATAAAAGTGTATTTTGGTTCATTTATTTTCTCTGATCTATATGATTTATTCATGAAGATTTCACTGTCTTTTTAGAAAACATCATCAGTGCATCAGACAGATAGATAAATTTTATTACATATTTGAATTTATGTACCTTCTAGTTTGTGTGAAATTCAGTTGGAAATGTTTAATGTATCTAAGTGAACAGAAGTTTGTCGTTTAATCATTATTTATTTCGTGTCCATATTCTTCTTTCACTTTAAAAAAAACAATGTAGGGTCCAACTGGAGATCCTGGAAAGGATGGTATGCCAGGGCGTGATGGTCATCCTGGTTCTAAAGGTGTAAGAGGTTCACCAGGAGTACTTGGCAATCAAGGTGTTCGAGGATTCCCGGGATTTGATGGCATGCCAGGTCGACCTGGACCAGCTGGTGTGAAAGGTGAAATAGGACCTGATGGTGAAGTGGGACCTATTGGAGATAAAGGCTACCAAGGTGATGTTGGTATTATCGGACCCATCGGACCAACAGGTGCGTTTAGAAAATATCAGTTTATAATTTTTCGATTGATAGAATAAAAATCATTGCAGTATGACGAAATTAACTTTGGTATACATGCTTAGTATATGCTAAATAATATTTCATTCATGTCAAATGAATGAAACTAGATGACTTTTACTAAGTATTCATCTCAACCTTCAAGTATCCCCTTATGCTATTTCAGTTGTAAATTAAATCGCCAAGTAATAAAATGTTTTCCAACTTGTTATGCCGCGAATGTGTTTTCTTTAATAAAAACAAAATACTACTGAGTAAACACTGCTGGTTAAGTTTAAAGACTCAGCTAAATAAATTTTGCGGTGTAGTTCAGTTCATACTATTCTTGCATAGACCAAATTTTCTATATTTTAATTTAAAATGACATGTTAATCCTTTGATTGCCCAGTAGATATAGTTCACGAGATTGAGAATGGAAAGTTCCCTATAACCGCATACAGTACTAACCAAAAGCTGTTTTTATACTTCTTTAAGCCATTGTATAAAGTACATCATAACAAGACAATCCAATCCTGACATAAATTTATCAAGTTGAAGTATTAGCCTACTAATGAGTAGTGTACTAAAGAATGTATATTTTTAAATAGCCTCAAGAGTGTGACTTACTTGAAATCTTTTAAATCAACCGTATACAGGGGATCTGTTTTATTCACTTATCTACTTACTATAACATTCCATGGGACTGAAGTGCGGCTACGATTTTTATTGAAGACATGTTACCAACTGGATAAAAGCATGAAATAAACTAGTAACTTTCTAGATTAATTTTTATAAATTTCCAGGTCCGTTGGGAGCAAGAGGCCCACCTGGTCCAGCTGGAGTCAAAGGTTTAACCGGTGAAGATGGTCCTTTGGGACTAATAGGATCTCCTGGACCAAGGGGACCACCTGGTCGATTAGGTCCTATTGGACCGTTAGGGCCTCCTGGTTTTGATGGGGAAAAGGGCGATAAGGGTGCATCAGGGCCACCAGGACCAAAAGGCGATAAAGGAGGAGTGGTAAGTATTTTTGCATTAGTCCTATTTTAAGTGAACATTAAACATTTTCAATATTTATTGATAATTAATTAGGATATTTTATTATTACTTAAAAACTTCTTATGTGTGAAGTATTGATAAGTTTCCACTTAGTTTTTTTAAATTTTACTTAACTTTAAAGGATTGTTACCACATTCACCATAAGACAAGTCTTTAATGTTTTGTATTTTTATAACATGAATCTTGTTTAACTTAGTAGTTTATTAGGATTGCATAATTGTTTTGCTCTATTTCATTATAAGGGTATACGTGGACCTTTTGGACCAGTTGGGAGCCCTGGGTTACCTGGAATACAAGTAAGTAATCATTTTGTGAATGTAAGTTTTTTTCAATAAAGCTTAGTAGACCAATATCGCCTTTTAGTATTTATCGATTTTGAACAAAACAAACATAGGAACAACCATTTAAAGTAGCTACGAGAAGTTAATAGCTTTTTATAGGTGTTATCAAATAGGTTAATAGGATTCAACCAGCCACAATGTAGAAATCTGAAGACTAACATACTTTGAGGAAAACTGGACAGTGTAATGAAAATTTTGAATTCACCAAGAATAATCTGATCATATATTTACCTATCAAGCAAATTAATGTCAAAGGAAATAAAATTAAAATTAATCAATAAATAGTTACAATAGGGACGAATATATGGAAGACAAAGTACGAAAAAGAACGAATAATGACTTCCATCAAGATTTCTTTGACAAAAAATTGGATTACAGATTACCGTAGCCGGTTTAGGATGGGGATCAGCCATATTTTGCATATGAAGGTGGGTTGGGTTTCTTTATTCTCAGGAAAACACAGCTAAAGATGTATCCTCGACCGTTTCTTCGTTAAGATTTGAAATCTGTTTTAAGGTTAGTGTTACGACTAGCTCCAACCATGATGTTGAGCATGGAAGAAGATAAATATCTACACTTCGCACTTATTGTGAATTACAACTCTGAATAAACCCACAGTTGTTTCTCCCAACTCCATAACCTCCAAACGTAACTACATAACTCCTCCCTATGTGTCACTATACACATATGTGACCTGTAATGGTATGTGACATAACCAAGTCCAAATGAGACTATAGGATTTTTTCTAACAGGAATGTAAAGCTTGATTTCCTAGTACATCTTTCTATGAGTGTTTTTACTGTAAGGTTCAAAAGAATAAACTATTAGACTACCATATTTATGGTAACGTGATGTAACGAACGGAATAGTGATATATCAGTAAGAATTTTAATATCAGTAGTATCCACAACGCAGACCAATTTGGATATTTAAAGAAGACATCCTACAAATATATAATTTGTTAAACTGATTTTTCTTGATTTTAGATTATTGGTTTAACTATTAGAGAAGTCACATAACTTTCAAATGCTACTCTGATAGAAATTTGTAACTACCTGCCTTTACTATTTAATCAAAAAACTTCTACAGAACGATTCGGCTTTCGAACCTGTACCTACGAAATTTCTGGATACCAATTAACGAAAAAACTTTTGAAACATCATCTATTCATAATATACTCGTTTTACTTTATTTAGGGACCACCAGGACTCCCTGGACAAGCAGGTGAGGAGGGACCTGAAGGATTAGTTGGTCCAGAAGGATCTCGAGGATTGCCAGGAGCACCAGGTGCATCTGGAATGGTAGGTGTGACAGGTCTACCAGGAATAGCCGGAGAAAAAGGAGACCAGGGATCACAGGGTCCTATAGGTCGACGCGGTTTACCCGGGACAGTTGGAGTCCCTGGCCCAGCTGGCCAACCTGGAAATGTTGGAGCACCTGGTCCTGTTGGGCAACAAGGAGAAAGAGGGACTCAAGGAGAAGATGGGCCACCAGGACCACGAGGTGTTGAAGGAAGTCCTGGAGTACAGGGACCACTAGGACCAAAAGGTCAAGAGGGTCCCCGTGGGCCACAAGGAGTACCTGGTGATATAGGGATCCCAGGACCTGATGGACCGAAAGGAGAGTTGGTGAGTCGTTTTGTTACTTTCAAAGTGTGATTAAACCGCTCAATAAATACATTAGTAACATTCTGTACTAAATGGTTACTAAGACAGATGACCTCTAAAAACTAGAGTTAGAAAGTCAGTAGTTTGAAAAAATTCTGACGGAAATAACAAGATACCCTTGTACTAGTTAATTTATTAATCTATGTTCTCTTGCTATGCTATATAAGGAGTCTACAATCATTGAATACGTATGCCTTTCGATGGACGATAAGAAAATGTAGTGATTCAACGTGAAGCTTTACGTACAACTGATTAGACTATATCAGAGTCTTGAGGCTTAAAATAGGTACTTTCGATTCTGTTAGGTATTTATCTTAAAATTAAATAGTATAACGGCACAATTTCTTTATAATGATTAACCATGACTAAATTTTTAGTCTCAGTTCTATTCCGACTTGAAAATTATTTGTACCTATTAATAAGAAAGTGAGTTAGTTTATACTAGGATAATAATAAGTAATTAATTGATTCAGTTAGACTTGTTTATAATTTCAAAACTTACTTATGGCTGTTACCCCTCATCGAGGAGCATAGGCTGCCCACCAGCATTCACCAACCAACTCCCTTCTGAGCAATCATTTCCAGTCGCTATTCATTCTTTTCATATCTGCCTCCAATTCCCGACGCGGTGTGTTCGTTGTCCTTCTACTTTTTCTTTTCCCTTCAGGATTCCAAGTTAGCGCTTGCCTCGTAATACAGTTTGATGATTACCGCAATGTGTGTCCTATCCGCTTCCAGAATTATTTCCTAATTTCCTCTTCAGTTGGAAGCTGGTTTGTTCTCGCCCAAAGTAGGCTGTTGCTGAATAATTTCAAAAACTGAATTATAAATGCATCCAACTTACCTGAAGTAGTCTTTACAATAGTTTCAATGAGGTTATTATGATGAGTAAACTGATATTAGAATGCTTCCGAGGTAGAATAAACCGTAAATTGTCATAATACGTTACATATCAGAGATTATTTCTCATAGTCTTCAAAGATTAATAGTATATGTCTCCATAATTCCATCATTTGAAATTATTTGGATACTGAACGTATGTTCCAAGCCCCATAAACTGACTTTTTTTAATGGAAATTTTACCTTCTATACTAAGGGATAAATTTGACATTTTATTCCACCCTATTATTTCTTTTGCTCGTATTCAAGATTCAAAAAGACAAGTTTATCTGAATGAAACACTTTATTTTATTTTGAATGCGCAGGGTCCTTTAGGAATACCTGGACCTCAAGGACCAACAGGACCTCCTGGACCAAAAGGTGTTCAAGGACCAGTTGGAGAAGATGGATCTCCTGGACCGCAAGGTCCTCTTGGAAAACAAGGTTTAAGAGGTCTACCTGGACCTCTAGGACCACCTGGACCTCCTGGTATGACGGGTCCTCAGGGACGTACTGGACCTCAGGGTCCTAAAGGTGTAAAAGGTGAAACGGGTGAACAAGGAGTACCTGGTGAACCAGGACGCGTTGGGCCAGTAGGATCCCCTGGACCTCCAGGATCTTTGGGCAGTCCTGGCCAACAAGGTGTACCAGTAAGTAGTAATTATTTTACTCATCTTATCCATTATGTATTGTTTATTTCTGTACGGAAAGCATAAAGAAGATGCATGACAGTTGATAACTACTTATAATATTCAGATTTTAAGAAACAACCTTCTAGTGAAAATTTTATGGAAGCTAACTAGTTATTTAAGAATCATCTAAAATTCGTGAATTCAAATAACTTTTGTATTCAGTGCTAACTAAAAGAAGTAATTCTAACTGATATTGTAAGTAGAGCTCCTCGCTTTTTTTTGGTTTTTGTCCTAAACAGTAATATATTCTGAGATATCTAGCAAGACATTATATCTGAGGTCACTCACTTTTTTCGTTTTTGAGTACATAGTGTTTACTCAGTGTTTGCATTATTAATAAATTTCGCTAAGTCATTTTAAACGATATTAGTTACTTACCTAATAACAGAATGATAAGCAGAGATGTACCTTCATCCCAGAGTCAATGTTCACTCCTGGACTCGAATCCTGTACCGTTCGCTGATGTACCTCAAACAGAACTAAACGCGTGTCCTGGATTCCACTGCTAGCCACCACCCATCTTTGTTTATAGTCCTTGTGACCCAAGACAATATCAAGGCAACACGCACAGGAAGTACATATGTCAACAAGAGACTGATCATTTGAAGTTTTAAACATCAATGGGAACATTTAAACAAACAATACAAAAATGAATTAAACTTCTCCCCATTGCATTAGCTAGTGGCCATCTATACCCAGTAGCTATGTGGATAACGCGATGGCGCTTAAAGCGAACGGTACTAGATTCGAGTCCCGAAATGGACATCAGTTCGGATGCAGATACATCCGGTTGACGAGTCCTAAATAGGACTAAACGCGCCTCCTGGATTCTACTGTTAGCCACCACCCATCTCTGCTTTTAATCACAACACTTTATTTATAAACAGACAATCTTAACCTATAGAAAAATAAGATAATTTTATTCAGATAACTAAGAATTACTTTAGTAATCATCAAAAATAAACCATAAAACAAAGATATTACTTTAAATAAATGTTACCATTATTCGGTCACCGAAGAAAATGAAACAATTATACCTTTCCAACTCATACTTTAATACATTTTACCTTTATTTGAATGATATATTCTTTTGTTCATATTTACTTGTAAGGCATTCTGTGACATGAATTCCATTCTTGGATACTTTTAGTGTAATACTAACACATTATCTATTAAGTGATATTTCAATTTTGATGTGATCTTGTAAATTTCCAACCAATTATGAGATATTCATTTTACAAGCCAACCAACTAGGAAATATGGAATTCGAACAGCTTAGAATATCTATTTTTTTTTATAAACGCCAATCATTTATTGAAATATTCAATTATCAGAATTTGGTTTACTGGAGAGAAAAAACTATGTAAGGTTAGTCACAATGACAAATATAAAAGTTATCTACAGAAAGATAAATATAACAAAAAATAAACCACATTAATAATGTCGGTAATTTTAAATAATACTGTAAATCACAATGATAAGAATAGATTAAACTGATATACATACCTTATAAAGTATGGAAAATCTCAACTGTCTGTTACAGGATGATTAAAACGAAAAAGCCTTTACAAATAAAAAAAATATGGACAGTAAGATTGTTAATTACAAAGTACATGGATCTAAACCATGTTAAAACAAAAAAAAGAAAATATCTAATGAAGGTGAATAAAAGTAATTGATAAAATGAAGAATTTTTTAAAGAGCACATAAAATCTAAAGCGAATCTCTATTAGGTTCGACTATCAATTTGCATTCAAGAATATTGACTGTGTTCATCAAGTTAATCTGTGTGTAAACTATTCAATTTATAAATTAATAGTATAAGCATGATCATTTTAATAGGCATAACGAAACAATGTTTTTTAAGACTAAGTAAAGTGTATCTTGTTTCATTTTCAATGCAAAAGATGTCATTCTATATTCTTTGATTTATTTTTTAAAAACTTATTTATAGGGGGTAATGGGTAAACAAGGCAAGACAGGAGAACGAGGATCAGAAGGACTGCAAGTAAACTAATACATATATTTTTTTCGTTTTCAAAGGTCTGCTTATTGCTTTGAATAAACAGAATAATATTCTAACCTTTTTTTGGTTTATTCATTATTGACGTCCCTGATATACATTACTGTAATATTTATTCTTTAGTATTTCTAGATATCTTGTCAAACACTATCGCTAAAACCTGTTAACAGGATCTGCTTTAGGTTCATTTGAATTTCCTTGTAGATATTTTGTCCCCATAAAAACTATATGTGACTTTTAGCTTGTCATACATAAACCGTAACTGTTATCGTTTATTCATGTACTGAAACAAAATATGTCAACAAAATCTATTCTCATTATGAAATATTTTCAGGGCAAGCAAGGTGACCCTGGTATACAAGGTGACCGTGGTCCGAAAGGTAGCAAAGGAACTTATGGTCCAGTCGGTCCATTGGGGCCTCCGGGACCAAAGGGTGAACAAGGTGTTCCTGGACTTGAGGGCGTACGAGGAGTGGTTGGTCTCAAAGGAGAAAGGGGTCCTGTCGGACCTGCCGGAGATCCAGGACAACCAGGTCCATCCGGACCAGTTGGTCCTGAAGGTCCAGCTGGACATCCTGGTCCTCCAGGTTAGTAAATGAATTTGAATTTGTAAATATAAGTTTTAAATTCATCAGTTTTATATCTTATATATCATCTTTTGTTCTTTTCCACACTGCACTATACAAAATACCTGATAATTTTATCTAGTTCCGCCGAAAACAAATAATCTTCAGAAGTTTTGTCATGAAAAGTGGGGCTCCATAATCATCTGGGATGAGGCATAAGTTATTAGCAAACTTGAAGTCCAGTAAATATTTCATATTAAAACAGCTTTACTCCTGCATATAAACTAATACTAAACAACTCATTCGATATTCGTAGAGAAATACTCTTGTTTTTTAAAGTATAATTTATTTAAAGGAAATCATGCTATGAATAACGTAAAAAAAAGTAAAACACTTTTAAGTATATTGGTTCGAGATCTAAAATGAAACGTAAGTTAGTAACTATTTCGTTAAATCATGATTTGCAATCATAAACAACTGATTTTAATACACGTTACCTATAGATTAGGAAGTACTTAAGCCAAGAATTATGGTTTCCACATAAACTGAGGTTACTATGAACATTTAAGAGAATTAATTGTTTCAAGTTATTAAGGTAATTGTATTTCTGTATTGTTTACGTAGGTATTAAGTCATTACGAAATATATTAAACTTCCTTAAAGATAAAACTGAACCTTATTTTTTGTAATTAATTTTTTTGATTTAAATATATTTTTCCTTTATAGGGTTACCTGGTGTTCCAGGTCAAAAGGGTTCATCTGGTCCAGCAGGACCACCGGGACCTCCGGGTCCAATCAAGGTCTTAGATATGAGTGAAGGTTATTATAGGTTTGAGGATACACCCAGAGTTAGACGTAGTATTTCAGATGCTTTATACAATAATCAATATTATTCGAAACAGGATCCGGGTACGTTATATTGTAAAGTGAATAATCATTTGAATTTTTTCTTTACCTTAGTCTCTTATAAGCGTTTTTGTGTAAAATTCCACGTGGTTCTATATAATTTTTCACCTTATGATTGCTAGTAGACTACATATTAAAAGACCCAAATGTTTATAAGATGCTAACTTTAAGACACCTTTCATCATCTACAGGAATAACCCTCTCATTTTCTTAGCAGAGAAGAGAAATCTAAGATTGACTAAAATAAACACCTAACATAACTAAGTTTTATAAACCCCCTACTTTTAAAAAAATGGGGGTCATTGACTGAAAGAAAATTTTTGTCTTAAAATGTCTTAAATAAACGAATTATGAATCAATAAAAATTAATCGAATGATTCTTTGTTTTTCAAGCCTAACAAGCTATTGTGACTTAAAACCTAAGGTCATAAGCTATATTACTAAAACACTGAACCACAATCTATACCTTAGCTTACTTCTATAAATTTCACACCGTTGGATTAGTTTTGTTGCATGTACGAAAGTTATTAAATTTTAAAACAAAACTTTAAAATAATCGTAATATCAAATTTCTGATTGTCTACTAAAAAGTTCCAACAAATGTATTTATGTAAGAATAATTAAAGTGTAGTGAACGAGAACATAAGTGGTGACAATGGAAAGTATTTCAATACAAAATTACAGAATCTCTTACTAACCATACAGTAAATACCTCATTTGCAAAATGTCAATCAATTGTTTCAAGCTTGACTTTTCCTTTTGCAAATGTCAATCAATCGTCTCAGACTTCGTTGTTCTTTCGATTCCACAGCAATCATTCTTTGTTCTCGTTTTCTTTTCTTTGATCTTCTTAACTTTCTGCCATTTTCGATTGATAATACCTACTATTTATATCCATCAATCAGTAGCACATACCACAAAAGTATGTGTAGAAAATTTGTGTTAAAAATGATCAACTTTCAAATAATCGCGAATTTCTACGTTGAAATACATTGTTAGCTCCTTTTAAAAATAGAACAAGAAAGTGAAAAGCATAAGTCAACAAACACTTCTTACAGCATATTTATTGCAAATAGACATCCGACTAAAAATAACTTAATTTTATTATCCCAAATATTTTTCGTAAAGTTGATAAATCACCAAAGACCATAAAATTAATTAGTGTTCCCACAAATGACTTGTTCTAATCTCTGTTGAGAAACTACGACCTGTGAATTCAACCAAGTCAGTAGTGAACCAGATATCTATCGGTAAATTTGAATAATCTTAGCACTATATCACTAGTAAAGTCAGTAAAAGTTAATTGATGAACATAGGTCAATTTACTGAACAACATCTTTGTTGTCAAATTTCAAGGTTTTGTACTCAACAATGCGTGGAGTAACAAATACTCACTAATGGCTGCAAAACAAGATTCATTCTTATAAAAATGTTAAGTCGTAATCATTTTTTACAGTCGTACTTTACACCGCATAATCGTATATTGATTGTTAACGTTCAACTCTGCATATTTCACTACTAAAAACTCTAATGAAAAAAATTATGTTCGAATAGATTAATCTTCAACTGGTTTATCTTTGTAAAATTATTCTCAAATAAATTGGTTTTAAACAAGATGAGATCTTAAGTATTCAATCACAAAGAGAATAATTAAGATAGAAAGTGAAGCGATAATAAGTTCTACTTTTTGGTAAATTTTAGAGTATAGTAAACTAAACTATTCTTTTTATATATTATAGTTCCATGAAACTTTTAGTTTAAAAGTTCGAATACAACCTTATTCATATTACTTTTTACTACTACTAATAATAATTCTGCACAACTAATAGATGAAAGTATTACACCGAATACAATACCATCAGTTGGTGCAGTACTACGTCGTATATATGCAAGAATTGAAAGCTTAGAAGCATCTATGAATAGTTTTGAACGTCCTATGGGTACACAACAAAATCCAGCTAGACACTGTCGTGATATATATGAAGCTGCTGATTTTCCAGAAACTTCTAAATCTGGTACTTACTGGATTGATCCAAACCTTGGTTCACCAACTGATGCATTCACAGTTGAATGTAGATTTCAGAATAAGGGAAATGTTGCTGAAACATGCATTAAACCAAGTGAAGATACAAAAACAGTAAGTGCTAATAGAATTTATTATTTCATTTGTTATCTATAAACAAACTATAAATCGTTACGAAATGTTTCTTTCAAACAATCAATTTGTTAATACTTTTAAGATGAAATAACACTATGTTATAATTTTATTGGATGTATATAAATTTAATCTCGCCTTATATAATATTTAACCGTAATAGGTGTCTAGCATCCTGTTATAAATTTATTGTAATAAGGAAATTAAAATCATTAAAGTAAAAAAGAATTATTGAACTCCTATTGATGTAGATACAGCAAGATAAATTAACAATAACAGATAGTGCTACCTGATTTCATCAGTTCAGGTTTGTCTAGATTCAAATTAAATAATCTCATATAGTAAAAGGTGTTAATAAAGATAAAAATATGTGGGTATCATTACCAAAGTTTGACTTGATAATTTCGAATGAATTAAGCATTGGGTAGATGGTTATCAATCGTCATCAAAATTTTGATTTGGTTATTTACTCTCTGAAGAAGCGGCTTACACCGAGTTACGAAACGTCAGAAAATCTTATTTTTCTACTCATTGGGATATTACAAATATATTCATTTATTGATAAATAAAATATGTGTCCACCACTTATTTCTTATCAGAAAAACCAATAACCAAAGAGAAGTTTAAAGTCATTTAGCTAGTTGTGTCACATGGCATGCTTATTCTACACGAGCTTAGTTGTTAGAATCAATCAACCATTAATTATGATGCCTCAAATTCAAATCTTATTCAGTTTACATAGGTATGACTATCTGGAAATTACTACGAATTATTATATCTCAAGTTTTTGTCAAAAGCTGACACATGAATGGATCTCTTACTATCCACTAAGCTACATTACATTTGGGTCATAATTTTAGCTTGACTATTTCAACGTCAACCATGAGTTTTTGCGGAATAATAATGATTGACAACCAAAATAAGCTTAGATAAACTGTTAACTAGACGCTCATGTAAACCAACAATATGAAATAATTCGGTTTACTACTGATTTTCATTTAGAAATTGTTTACTTGAATAGAAACATCTAGTCACTTGTTTAAACATATAATAATTCACTTTTTATGTATTCCTCTACAAAACTAATTATGTTTTTCTTTCTGTTATTCCAATAAACATATTTGTTCGTTTTTCGGATAATCATTAAGCTTATTTTCTGTAATAAACTTTTATCAGATTGATTTAATACATAACATTTCGTCCACTATAGAGCGCAGATCCCCTTAGGATTACAGGTGCACCCTGTTTGTAAAAGCCAAACAGCATGAAATCTAGGTTTGTAGTATCTTGTCAACTACATCTAATTACTTGACATTTCAACATAGTGCGCATAATTTTGAGTCATTTAAAACCAGTGGCCAAACTGCACCTTGATCAACAGAATTCTTTCGACACTAAAACGACTAGACAAACACGACATCGGATACCTATCAATCTGTTATAAACCTATAAGATATGCTTTTTACTAATTCCGATGGATTTCGCTAAGTTTACAATGATATTTCATCATGCAACATGCAGTGTTACAGAATTATATTGAATCTGTAAATCTCGACGATTTAAACTCCTGCTAATGTGAGATTGTAAAACAAATATTAGGTACATAAATGTGCAACTGTAATTGTAGACTATCGGATAAACTGGGAACATCAAAACTAGATTTGTAGTGAACAAGAGATCAGGTGAGGAGAACCAATTTATCATTTAATTCACAATCATATAATGGTTTAGTAGAATGTGAAAATCATACATCAAATACATCATTTGCATATCTTTCAATTGTCTTTTACATCCTTCAAAATCTTTCCAATCCTATTTTTATTCCAATTTCTTTCTCTTCTCTTCTCTTCAGTTTTTTTTGACAGGCATACCACTTTTGATTGGTTTTACCTACTACCTACATCTGTCAACTTAACTAGCATACACCACAGGTTCATTTAATCACGTCACTGATTTCCCCTATGTCTATACTACTTTTTTTACTAGTATAGGGGTTGTGGAGATTATTAAGTTTTTGATTGAGATCATGAACCGATTTATGTTAGACCACCACAATTGAAAACCTGGAAGCACTGGACGGCCGTTTCGTCCTATTGTTGGACTCCTCAGCAATGCGCATCCACGATCCCGCTCGCGGGATTCGAACCCAGGGCCTTCGGTCTCGCATGCGAACGCTTAACCAACTGGACCACCGAGCCGGCATCCAATGGTGATAGTTTCCAACATCAACCAATCCACGAAATTGCGCGACCAACTTCCGTTGTACTGAGGTAGGTACCTATCTCTACCCGACAAGGATTAGCGGACGAAACGGCCGTCCAGTGCTTCCAGGTTTTCAATTGTGGTGGTCTAACATCAATCGGTTCACGATCTCAATCAAATACTTTTTTTAATTAGAAAGCACCAACAAGTTATGACGAAGCTCATTTCTCATATTTAAGTAACATTTTCAATATACGAATATTTGCTACTGTATTTTACTTTTCTTTGCAAATTATAATATCATTAATGAAATAAGTCACTATATTTAATTAGATCAAGCTTATCGAATGATAATATCTATCTGAAAAAGTTAATGTCAACAAATTAACCTCTTTTGGTTGTTCTGACAACAAACGGATGTATATTCTGTTTATTAGAAAAAACTCGTGTTTTAATCAATTGACTACCACCTATGTAGCTGAATTATGAAAACTCCTGATCTGCGTATAATCGAAGTGTAATGAGTGTGCAATTTGACAATGCTCGTATTGATCCGTTTTTGTTCCTTTTTAAATTCTAGAAGACAAAGATAAATCAATCCAGTTGAAGTTCATTACTGTGTATTTAATAAACTAATAACTTAAGTCGTAGTTTGTTTCTCTTACTGAATATAATACAACTTCTTCAGATGATAAATTACTATCTGATTGAGATCAGTCTGTACTACAAAATATATAGGTTTCTATCTTATAAATTTCTTTCCTATTTAAGTTCCCTCTAATTTCAATCATTTATAAACCAGTTTCTTTTCCTGAATAAACATAAAAAGGGTCATTTGTAATTGGGTATGTAGAATAAAAACAACTGAAAACTATTAAGTCCCATTAAGGCTGAGTTTATATAGTTTATTGTGGAAAAGGACTAAATGACATAAGAATGATGCGATTGCAAACACATGGAAGAGTCGTAAACAAAAAATCGAAATATTATTACCACATCATAATCATTCAGACTATCAAAAAATATATGGATTTCTACTAAGACAAATTTCAACAAATAAAGAAGACCGCTGAGTTAGCTAGTAAAATAATAAGTGAAAAATGAAATTTCAAGGTGGAAATACAAGATTCTCAGGTTCGAAAAAAGGGATTTTCCCATACTCTTTGATTTTAAATGATTATTCAGCTGTTTTCAACTTAATCATAATTCTTTATCTATAATAATCTAGATGATTTGTCACGCGATTCAAAGTAAACTGTAAATCTCCAAGCTGTTACAATATATTAGCCTTTGTGTATGATAAACATTAATTATCCAGTTTTTTTCTCAATGAGCTGAATGATTTAGTAACGGAGCACTTATTATGATAATAAATCACAAATGTAAACTCCAAATATATGATTTTATCTATCTTGACTGTAAAAGCTATTTTATACTTCTACTAACTTTAGGAAACCCAGCTCCTTATAAGACATAATGGTTTGTTTAGACTGAAATCCAGAAAACTTTATCTTGATGTATACGACTAATGGCCAATTATTTCAAATGTTATTTTTTTATTGATTTGGTTTCTTGATAATGCTTAATTGGGAATTACCTACTAATTGATTATATATAAAAAAAAGTCTTTTGAATTGCGTGACGCTTACAAGATCAGTGTATTGATGTACAGCTATTCGATTAAAAATTTATGGGTTAGTTTTATCCATTCTTGTAAAAATTCTCTATTTTTGTTTCGATTACAAAACCCAGGTTGGTTACTTAGTTTACAAGTGACAATAACTTATGTATGGTTCATAGAAATGCACCAGAACATCAATTAATATTTTTTTAAAATGATAGTTTTGATTCAAATGCTTCTCATAATATCCTCAGAGATAGTTAACCAAAACTCTATTATGATCCGTGACTTTTAGCCTTTTTCACTACCTTCAAATAAAAAAATCAGTCTACTATTGCAATCAACGAAATTGTTAATAAGTTGATAACCCTTGTTGTTTATTTATGTTTCAGCAACCTCTTACTAATTTTGTTAAAACAAATAATTCAGAAGACTGGTGGATTTCACATTTAAAACAACAGAAACAAAATGGAACAATGCATAAAACTCAAGTAACATTTCATTTTCATTGATTTCTTCAATGTTTTGCCTTTATAAAATTTATTTTTGCTCATTTTCATGAGTTAGTGATTTTTATTAAGATTTGCACCTATAAATTTTCAGTATAAAACTAGTGGGTTAGTCTATAATAAGTGCACTAGGAATAAATAAAAGTGGCTAAACTGTCACATAAAGTCTTGATTATTGGTATTTGTTAAATGGTCAAATTGTTGTAGAAGCAGTCAGGTAGAAATGAAACGGTCGCCTTTTGATTTTCCTCTTAGTAAAAAACAAGCCAATCGTGTTATGAAGGAATAAATCAAGACAGCCCAACGAGCAGAATTCTCTTTACACTTATATTATTTTTTAAGCTATCGACTAGTATTTCGTGTTGACTTTATATGTGTATGCTTAGGCCTAGAGATTTTATAAACTACTCCACTCAGTAAATAAATACGAAGCCAACAAATAAACGCCTACTTTAGAGAGAACACAAATTCAAAGTATTCGATCTTTTAAAAATCTTTTAAAGATCTAGTAATAAGTCGTCCAAATGTGGGTGGCAGTATTGTTCTATCAGATCGTTTGAACAATATCAAGAAAATATTTTCCATGCTATCATATGTAGACAAGTCTTTTAAAGACAAAACTTGAAAAGATACCATTGAACATATTGAAAAGTTTTAGAAAAGATGAAAGACAAGTCAGTTATAGTCTGTAATCCTTATGGACAATTTAGACCATCATGATCCGTTGTCCTACGACTATATGGTCTCTCTAAAGTACACAGAAAAGATGTCCCTCTACTTCCTATGTTGTTTACGTATAATTCACCACACTACACTAATGCTAAATGGTTGACTGAAATTTTACAACCAATCTGAAGTCAGCGTAATAGAAAAGAAAACATCATCAGATTTTACTTCTCAATTTACAAATGTTCCGCCTACGGAAACAATATGCTTCATATATGGCTAGGTTGAAAACAACAAACTCGATGTTGGTGTTCCAAAACATTATCTGAAGGAATTACTTATTCCATGCATTTTTAATGTTCAGTTCAGATTTTATAATGAGTTTTATGAACAAACCAATAAAGTAGCAATCGGATCACCCCTTGGCCCATTCCTGGCAGAAAGTTTTATGGCCAATACGGAAAATACCATACATTAACTAATGGTCAACAGTTTCCATCTGTTAAAAATATTTTGATGATGCTTTCATAAAAGACAGAGTGGAAAAGTTTAAGAGTTGTTACCAATCACTCAAGTTTACAGAGAAATCAGACCTGAACTCAAAGTTTCACTTCTTAAATGTTCTGTCAAACAGAAGAAAGAATGATTTGTTACAACAGTGGATATGCACACAACCCACCTTCAAAGACCAGCACAAGAAATTTCGTAGTTGGGTAGGGCTGAGTAGAAAAAATACATAACCCACTATCCAACCTCAAGAAACAGACGAATAAGCACGGACGACACGATAGGTGATGAGTTAAATTCGTTTCGACTAATATTTATGGGGAAAAGTTTCCAGCCTAGGTTCATTGACAGAAACCTAAAACCGAAAGACCAGGTTGAAAGAACAGTTCCGAACAAAGTTTCATTCCTAAACATTGAATTCAAAAAAACGGCAAAAGAGGTATTGAAGAACAGACTGTCAAGATCTTTCGGAATGACCCTTTAATAAGCAGAGATCCGAACTGTCTTATCCAGTATTTCATTAGGGTAAGTGCCAACGATAAACTTCAACTTTAAGCCACCTCACTGTTCATTTGTCAATCTACCTGCTTTTGTGGAGCAGGTTATATTAACCTCACAAAGCGCGCTCTTGACAAACGAATATCCAAGTACTACCCAGAATGGTTATCTAAAGAGAATCGCAAGTTCATTAACAGATCAGTCCTTAAAATGCCCTCAACTATGACCACGTGCCACCAATGGAATCGTTGTTCTAAATTCTCTACAAAGTTAAAAGAATTGTTTCAAATAAGATCCGAATTAGATATGTGTGCACCGCTGAAGATATAACAACTTATTAATCCAAAGCTGGCCTTTGTGTTTAGGAAAGTCACATTCAATAATTTATTCCACCCCGACTTTGGTACCCCTTCTAGTTTTTCAAAACGTTGGTGCCAACCACTATCTTACTCTTCACCCTCTTCTTCTATTTTTGTAAAGTGGATGGTTATCTTTTGGACCTTTTTTATGAATTATTATTTCCTATTACTTCAAAGTTTATCAAATAACCTGAACGTAGTTATTGAAACCTTTGATAATTTCTATTTACTTTGTTAAATGATGCAATATCTCTCTATTTTATAAACTACTATATTTCACACTTATAAACCTTTTACCATCCATCATAGTTTTACTTGATGATACGATACTCAGATTTTATTATAGACAGCCACATGTAAATTACCTGTAATAAAACTATACAGCTTAAGATGACACTGTTGAAAAGAACATTTTTTTACTAATTTACCTATACTAACTCTTAATATTTGAAAATAAAGACTTAAGTTTTCAATTCAAAGATACAATTTTCATGATTGTGTATTACCGAATCCCTAAGATAAAAATAAGACAATAGATTTTCGTACTCTCTGACCAAGGATATTGAAAACTATCAACAGAACACTTCACGAAGAAGAAGAAGAATATTAGATAAAGGCTAAATCCTTCTAAAAAAGGAAAGTCTTTTTTGATGAAACACAAGCGAAATTGATTTTTAGTTTGATCTGTTAAGTAAAGAGGTAATCGTTTAAATGTCGTTAATATCTCACTGTAATCTAAATCACTTTCAACTGTGGATATTATTCTCATATTCATCTAAAATCATTACTTCTACTAACTTTATCAATGATCACTTGAATCAATGTTATTTATTTTGCATACAAACAGATGTGTGATCAAAGATGGATAGTGGCTAGCAATGGAATCCAGGACGCGCGCTTCGTCCTGTTTGGGACTCGTCAGCTGGATGTACTTGCATCTCAGAGTTGATGTTCACTCTGGGACTCGAACTAAGTACCATTCACTTCAAACGCCATCGCGTTATCCACTTAGCTACTGAGTCCTGATAGCCATTTGCTTGTGCAATGGGGTGAAGTTTAATTCACTTGGTATTGTTTTACTTGAATCTTCCTATTGATGTTTTAGGACTGAGTGAACATCAACTCTAAGATGCAGGTACATCCAGCTGACGAGTCCCAAACAGGACGAAACGTGCATCCTGGATTCCATTGCTAGCCCCTATCCATCTTTGCTTATAATGCTTGTAAATTAAGGCAATATCGAGGCATACGCACAGTATGCACATATGCCAATAAGAGATTGATCAATTTCAGTCCTAAAAACATCCAGTAAAACAATATCAAGTGAGATGTGTGATCAGTTTATTTGAAATATATTGTTACAGTATATTATCTAGTTATGATCATCTATGGTCTTCTCATTACATTATCTTAATTTATTCATATCATTAACAAGTATTAATTTTTTTTTTCAATTTTATTTCTATTAAGTTATATTATGCACCAATAAATCAAATTCGTTATCTACAACTATTACATTCAAAAGCTGAACAAGTGATCACATTTACATGTCGTAATACACCAGTATATTTTGATGTGAGAAATCAAAATTATAAGAATGCAGTAATCGTTAAATTATTTGATGAAAATGTGATTGATACTTATGAAGATAGACGTACACGTACTATTGGTGGTGGTATTATGTTAGATATCAAGGTTAAAGATGAATGCATGGTAATTATTAATAACTATTAGTAATGACAATTAAATTTTATTATTGTTATTTCTATTAATTCATTATATTAACTTTTTTATATGTGGTTCTTGATTGTTTATTTTGTTAAAGTAGAATCTTTATTAACTATTTATTGAGAAACTTATATTCATAAGTCAGAAACCCCCCCCCCTTTGTATTAATTAGTTAATTTTACATATCAAAAAGAATGAATACTTACATAATATATATGCATCTTTTAACAATCAGTTCTTGAGAATAGTGAAATTTGACTACAGGAAAGAAATTACTGGCACCAGACAATATTTTTGTTTAATAGTTTAATTCAATTGAAGCTAGACCACTATGAATAATCTAGAAACACTGAACGGTCGTTTTCAGGTTTTCCATGGTGATCTAACTTCAATCGACTCATGAATTCAACTATTAAATTATTATAATATTCACAAAAACCCCTCTCTGAATATTTTTATTACCTAAACTGAAAACTAAAACTATAATTGGAAAAAAATATATTATTTATATGAAGTATCATCTAATACTGGAAACATTACTTTATCACAGTTTCAAGCAGTGATCATTTAATCTTATTCACTAATCTAAACAGTCAGATTTGAAAATCACTAAAACTAAGTATACTGTAGACTAATTAATAATCTGCTACAACGATTATTAATAATCAAAAAGCAATAAAAGTATAGAACCAAAGAAGTTTGTAAAAAGAAATATGTTGCAAAAGATTCACAGATCATATGGATGATTTTAATGATGTAATATTCTATGAATGAAATAGTTCGATTTAGAAACCTTTATTGTCATTTAAATAACATTAATAGAAATAGGTGATTGATAGCTTTGACTATACATGAAAATGACTATCTTTCTAAGCTATTTATAGTAATTCTGTAATAAATTTAAAGTGAAAAAAAACTAAGAAATATATAGAATACCTTTATGTCTAATAATAAGCTACATGATTAGTGATTTATTAGTACAATTATTCTATTCGATATTGTTTTTTTCATTGTTTATTTTTAGGAACGAAGTAAACAAAAAGCCAGTAGTGTATTTGAATTTGTCACCCGTAAACCAAACTTACTTCCATTAGTTGATATTCAATTAAAAGAGTTTGGAGAAAGTGATCAAGAAATTGGATATTATATGGATGCTGTTTGTTTCAGTTAAATTTGTCATCATTGGTATTTATGATTTAATCAATAAATGAACTAGTATTTAAGCTGAATAATTTTATACCTTTTTTGATTGTTCGTTTCTCCGGCTGTTGTAACTTACTCTGGTTATATTTGTATTAGTTAACTAGTGAATAGTCACGATAGATTATCGGGTAGCAGGAAGACTTTATGTTTCTTTTTCTATGATGCAGTCTTTTTTCTGTGAGCTCGTCTTATATATTAAATTGATTTTAGGCTATAGTTTAGTAAATACATCCACCTCTTTAATATACCTTGCATGTTCAATTTTCATCTCATTATAACTGACAAACATGAAACAATAATTTTTGATTGAGATCATGAACCGATTGATGTTAGACTACCGTTGGAAACCTAGAAGCACTGGACGGCCGTTTCGTCCTATTGTGGGACTCCTCAGCAGTGCGCATCCACGATCCCGCTCGCGGGATTCGATCAATCGGTTCATGGTCTCAATCAAAAACTTAATAATCTCCACAATCCCTATACTGATGGAATAATAATGCCTTAATCATATGTTTTCCCTTACTATTAATTGAGTAAGAAATTTTAAAGCAAATCGTTGTAGATATGTTCTGTTTGTTCTAGTTTTAATTAATAACATATCAAGCTAAATTCAATAATTTGAATGTTGTTCGAAATATACGGACCAAAGTTTTCTCCATAAGGTGAAGAAATTTAAAATATATTAGATAAAGTGATTCATTGTTTTAATAATTTACAGTTTATAGTTCCTTATATTATTAAAAACCTATTATATATCGATTTATTAAGTGAAAATTTGTTCACATTTACAATGTGAGGACATTTATAAGATTTGGTTCTAAATATCAATAGAAAATAAGTCACTAAAAAGACTAAGTACACATGTACTAACAGAATTCTTTATAGAATGACTTGTATATTCTAATGTAAATGTAATAATTTAGGCTAACAAACTACTTTCGACATAATTATTTGTATCCATCGAATATAAAAGCATTAAAACACTGAATAAGTATCCATTGAAATGTAAATTATTTTCATTGATAATTTCGATCTGAGAAAGATACCTTTTAAAACGTAATACTTACTTACGCCTGCTACTCCCAATGGAGCATAGGCCGCCGATCACCATTCTCCAACCCACTCTGTCCTGGGCCTTCCTTTCTAGCTCGATCGAATTGTTGTTCATTCTTCTCATGTCTGTCTCAATTTCTCGGCGTAATCTGTTATTTGGTCTTCCTCTCCCCGTTTGGCCTTCAGGATTTCATGTGGTGGCTTGCGTCGTGACGCAGTTGGGTGCTTTTCTCAATGTGTGCCCTATCCACTTCCAGCGCTTCTTCCTGAGTTCTTTCTCCGCTGGGATCTGGTTTGTTCTCTCCCACAGTAAGTTGTTGCTAATAGTGTCTGACCAACAGATCTGAAGTATTTTGAGTAAAAAACTGTTAATAAACACTTGTATCTTCTAGATGATGGCTTTCGTAGTTCTCCAGGTTTCCGATCCATACAGTAAAACTGCCTTGACAATTGTATTGAAAATCCTGACCTTGGTGTTGGTTGATAGTTGTTTTGAGTTCCAGATGTTCCTCAGTTGTAGATATGCTGTTCTTGCTTTGCCGATCCGCGTCTTCACATCTGTATCAGATTCACCCTGTTCATCAATGATACTGCCCAGATATCTAAGGGTTTTTACATCTTCCAAATCTTCGTCAATTGCGATTGGATCGTTGCATGCTATGTTGTATCGGAGAATCTTGCTTTTCCCTTTGTGTATATTGAGACCTAGTGCTGTTGAGGCTGCTGCTACACTGGTCATCCTCTCCTGCATTTGTTATTGCGTGTGCGATAGAAGAGCCACATCATCTGCGAAGTCTAGATCATCCAGCTGCATCTTAGCTGTCCACCGTATCCCGTGCTTCCTCCCAAATGTTGACGTCTTCATGATCCAGTTGATCACTAGGAGAAAAAGAAAAGGTGAGAGTAAGCAACCTTGCCTAACACCGTTCTTTACCTCGAACAAGTTTGTCAATTGTCCTCCATGCACGATTTTGCAGTTTAATCCATCATAGGAATTCTGTATGATATTGACTATCTTCTGATGAGTTCCTTTAAAACGTAATAATCTACCCAAATATAAAAATTATTTGCATTGTCTTTATCCGCGTACAAACCTATAACAATCACATGTTTAAAAGACTAGTGATAGAATCCATATGCGTAGAAACAAGAGTTATGAGAAATTCCATAAGATATGAATCATAGATCTGATGGGTACATTTTCGGATGACTCAAAATAAGAATCTACTGGTAATAAACAACAGACAAACGTCTAACAGGCAATAAATATGGATCGTTAGTGTTAAGTAATAATGACGGAAAAATTCATATATTAATGAAGAAAATATGAAGACCTCCACGTCTGACGGAAGCACGAAATACAATGGACAGCTCTCAATAAACTAGACGATTTGGACTTCCCAGACGACCTGACCCTTCTATCACACACACACACGAACAAATGCAAGTCAAGACAAACAGCATAGCAGCAACCTCTGAAGCAGTAGGCCTCAACATACAGATAGGAAAAACCAAGACCCTCAACTGCAACACGGAGAACACCAACTCAACCACACTTGGTGGAGAAGCTCTGGAACAGATGGAATCTTTCACGCACCTGAACTGCATCATCGGTGAACAAGGAGGATCGGATGCAGATGTAAAGGCGAGGATTGGCAAAGCAAGGACAGCATTCCTACAGTTGAAAGACATATGAAACTCAAGACAACTGTCTGCAAGTCAACATCAAATTCAGAATCTTCAATACGAAAGTCAAGACAGTTCTATTGTACGGAGTTGAAACCTCGAGAACCACTACAACCACCAACGAAAAGGTAAAAGTGTTTATAAACAATTCTCTACGCCGGATACTCGATGTCCATTGGCTAGATACCATAGGCAAAAGCCTATTATGGGAGAGAACAAATCAGCTTGCAGATGGAGAGGAAATGAGGAAGAAACTTTGGAAGTGGATAGAATGCACATTGAGGAAATCATCAAACTGAATCGCGAAGCAAGCACTATCTTGGAATCTTGAAGGAAAAAGGGGAAGAGGAAGGCCAAAGTACACACTACTCCGAGAGTCGCCAACAGACATGAACAGAATGAGTAGCAACTGGAAAGGATTGCTCAGGACAGTTGAATGGACAGTGCTAGTAACTGACCTATGCTTCTCTACGAGGGGTAACAGGCGTAAGTAAGCGAGTAAATAGTAATGAAGTATTAACAAACTAATCATTTTACATGATTTCAACGTTTAGATAGAGCATTGTCATATGTTTAAAGATACATCCTATGGTTTTAGGATGGCATTTAAAAAATTTAATTAAACTACAGTTATTCAACATTATGTACTGATGCTAATCGAACGTGGCTAAAAATATTATGGTACAAATATTTGTTCATTTTCTAGTGGAAGACACTTCTGTCGCATATAGCTTGGACGTAATTTGAAAGTTAGATTTGAACAGTCAAGTAATATCAATGGTCGTTACACAAACAGCAATATGAATCATAGTCAACTACATAAATCTTAGTAACCGAGTTGGGTTATCGTTACCATTAATAATATTAGTGGACTAAACAATGCTAATTGTATCACAAAACCCGACTTCTAACTACCAATTTGTTCAGGTTCATTCAAAATTAAATTTATGTTATTTACTCACATACTAATAAACAAAACTTCGACTACTGAAGTGTGGTAGTACCCATACTCATGATAAATCAATCGAGTATTAGATTTTTGAATTTTATGGGTATATCCTTTGTAATACTACATTTATTATTTTCTGTAAAATAACAACTACACTTCTGTTTAAATGGCGCATTTAGTTTTCAAAACCATTAAAATAAACATAAAGGTAAAGAATAAAAATAAATAATTATGATAACTATTTGTGAATTAATTCACTTGATATTGTTTTACTTGAATCTCCCCATTGATGTTTTAGGACTGCTAGCCACTATCCATCTTTGCTTATTTGTGAATTATTTTCTTGTTTAAGTATTGTAAATCTTTTATCAATTACAGAGATAAAAAGGAACAAGTCAGCTGCGGAACAGAAAAGAATATTAGATAAGCAACGATAATAACCCATATTTACTGTAAACTTGGTTTGGATAGGTTTATAGATGTGCGCTTAATACAGTTAGCTTAAGACAGCTGCTTATTTAAATGTTTACAACCGCAAAGAGGAGAAGACTTCTAGATTATAGCCGTGTATATTTGAAAAACCACCTCATAAACCCCGATGTAGCAAATTATCAATAATTTATCCAAACAAAAACTAACTCCTTTATGACTGAAATAAACGAATAAGGTCACTCGGTAATGACCGATTCTGTATATCCTTGTATCAACCGAACCTGGATAAAATTTTAATATGTGGGGACTAACAGGATTCTTTAGACTATCAAATAAATTCAATGGTGATGTATATGTTATTAGACTAGGAGCCATATTTAGAATTAAACTGGCAGATTTTTAATGTAAAAGCCCTATCTACCAAGTGAAAAATTAGCATATACTTCGTCTCATTGTATAGTCAGCTATTCCTAACCTTTTCAGTGTCTACCATCTTAGTTTTATTATATTCTAAAGCTGATATAAAAACAATGACTTCTGTTTACTACCCTGAATTATAAGTCTTTGACTCTAATTGACCAGACTGTTACTCACCAAAAGAGGTTGGTAAGACTCCTTACATCACAAAGTGAGTTTCAGGTTTCAATACTATAATAGCTAACAAGAATCAATGGAATGACGCCTATTCCTTAATGGAAATATCTGAGACTAAACCCTCAGCACTAACAACTTATGCGTAGATTCTAAAATATGATTTACAGAAGTTTATAGCTTTGTAGGTAGATATAACTGTTGAAGCAATTAGTTATTCGTCGTAACTAAATTTTATAATTAGCATCATGGACTGATTTAAGCCGAAAAAACCGACAAAAATAAGAAGCACTAGACAGTTATTTCTTCTTAATATAGCAATACTCAACAATGTGAATCCACGATCCAACAACAGATCGAACCAAAAACCTTCAGGTCATGCCGCGAGCGCCTAACCTTTAGATCACTGAGTCATTATTCAATGGTTTGCACATCCAACTTGAATCAACTCGCGATATTGCGTAACCACTTCCCATTGTCACTGGTGAATAAATACCTCACATCCTACATGGTTGAATTCTACTGGTCATAGCTT